TTCCTAGAATACGGTGTGTGTGTACGTGTGTTTTAAGGTGATCTGATCCGAAGCAGACATTCTTCCTTAAACAAAAGGGGGAAAACCTGGGAGGCCGCCAGGACGTCGGAAGATAGTGAACCGAGGAGCGAGCGAGCGCCAGCAGCAGCACATGGCAAGTCCCAGACCATGTGCCTTGCAGTTCTCGGGAGGACGGCGTCTCCATTCAGGCCGCCCCCTCCCCCGGTGGATGGCTGGGTGGGTGGGTGGGAGATCGAGGATCCGACCACCTGATAAAGGACGAATGTCGTTCCTCTTTTTAACAATATTACCCAGGGACTCGAGGTTAGCAAGCGAACGTCCCTCCTTTGCCCTCCCCCACTCTCTCCAAGCAAAAGGTGAATTAATTCAAGTAAAACTATGACGTTTCCTTTCCAGATTATTATTGGGGGCGGGGGGGTACTGAATCTGGAAACCAAAATTAAAACAAAAAAGAATATAAAGATGGAGAAATATTTATTTATTTTTTTAAAGTACCCAGGAGAGAGATCGAGGACCAACGGGCAGCTGGACTCTCCTGGAAAATCGCCCCAAGAGATTTTGTATGTATGTGTGCGTGTGTGTGTCCTAGTCGTAGATGGGACAGCTACAAAAACGGGTCTCTAGCTCTCCTTCTCCCCCCACCCACTCGACCCAGCAGAGGCAACTAGAGGCTGCCGGGTCGGTTCTTTCCAGCCCGACTTGCACCCGGTTTCTTCCGTCCTGCCGGGCAAGATACGCCCCCGGGACTCCCGCGATCTCTCCCCACCTTCCCTTCTCTGTCACCCCCGCCATCCGCCGTCGCCTGTCCTGCCAGGGGTTTCCTGCGCTCCCCTGACAGCTCGGGGACGCCCTTCCACCCCAGGCCCCCCCGTCCCAGCCTCCCCCACAACGCCGGGCCACACTCACGGTTGGCGATCTCTCCCCCCATCTTGTACTTGTTCACCACCACGTCTTCCGCGATCGTCAGCTCGGCCGCTTCTTCCTCGCCCGACATGGTCGGACCGAGCCGCCGCCTCCGCCTCTCGCCTCAAGCCCTTTCCCTCTCCACGCTCCGCGGAGGAAGAGGAGGAGGAGGAGGAAGAGGGGCGGGTGGTGGCGGTGCTGTTGGTGGCTGCCGCGCTCGCCGACGCCGCCTCGCCTCACCGAGACGGAACGCGAGACAGGCTGGAAGGGAGCGAGCGAGCGCGCGGGCTTTGCGCGGGGCACGCTGGGAAGCGAGTCCGCTCTTTCGGCGGCCAAGAAACTACAACTCCCGTCGGGCCCAGGGCGAAGCAAGTTGGCGAGGCACGACGGGAAAAAAAAAAAGAGCGCCTCTTAATGGCCGGGGACGAGACTTTGTAGGCGTTATTATTATTATTGCTACGTGCTCTTCTTCCCCTGGGTTCTCTGACGTTTATTCTGATGGCCGGACTTTTCTCTTTACTTTGGCGAGTGGCCGCTGTTTTCCCATGGCGCTTGGTTTTGCTCGCTTGCCCAGCTTTTGCTCTGTGTGTTAACCCAGGAATATCGTTCCTTGGTTGTGTAATCGCCAAACGTGAATGCCAATTAAAAATTCCCCCAACTCGCTTATAAGCTTGTCTTGAAGTTCTGCGAAACAATCACACCCTTTTGTTTTTATTAGACCGCGTTAAAAACAAAGAGAGATTGATCTGTCAGGAAAGGGGGAAATTTAGCAGCATCCTTATAATGACCAACTCAAATGCCCGAATTACGTTCAAAATCTCTACATCAGGTCGAGAGAATTTTTTTTTAAAGCTCAGGTGTTGGTTGTGTTAATTGTGAGCATAGAGCAGGTAATGATCAGTCTAGAGATGTATAAAATGTAATTAAAAGAATTCAATGTAATATACAAATAAAAATTATAAAATACTATGTGATTTTTAAAAATAAATTAACATAAATGTGTGAATCGTGCTAGAGAGGTTCAGTACTTGTTTAACAGAATAACATAATCAGAGTTGGAAGGAACCTTGTAGATCATCTACTTCAGGGGTCACCAGCCTTTTGGACCTCAGTGACCACCAAACTCATAATTTTAGATCCCAGGGACCACTAACCGGTTCTGTGGGTGTGGCCTAATTTATGGGTGTGGCTTGGTGGTCATGTGACTGGCTGGGCATGGCTTGTATGTAAATATTATAAATATTTATATGAATATTGATTTTTTTTTATAAAAAAGAGCAACTTTTACCCAAAATCAGGCAAAGCAGGCAGATTGAGTTGCTCACAGAATCACAGATTCATTCAGAGATCTATCTATCTGCCATTGGCTAGCTCAGTTGGCGACCGCTGATCTAGTCCAACCCACTGCCCAAGCAGGAGATCCTGCACCATTTCTGACAGATGGCAGTCCAATCTGTTTTTGAAAGCCTCCAATGATGAAGTTCCCACAACTTCTGAAGGCAACTTCTGTTCCATGGGTTGATTGATTTCACGGTCAGAAAATTTATCCTTATTTCCAGGTTGAATCTCTTCTTGTACAGTTTCCATCCATTATTCCTTGTCTGGCCTTCAGGTGCCTTGGAAAAAAGGTTGGCCCCCTCCTCTCTGGCAGCGTGGTAAAAGAACATGAGAAAACAAAAACAAGATTCTGTGATGACTAACTTAGCTCTCGGTTGAGGAAGCAGATTTGCTTTAAAAAAAGGATGGCCTTGAGGTGGTTGGGAAATTAGGGGGGAAGGGATAAAGAATGATGCAGTTGACAAGACAGGCTACCCGACACAATGTCAGAGATAGATAGCCTAATGCCTTCCATGTATTGTGAACTGTAGTTTTCATAATTCTTTGCCTGTTGTGGGTAGGTCAGAAACATCAGGAAGGCTTCAGGAGGCCTTTTCCTGACTTGATAATAGTCTGAGCTAAACCCAGCAATAATAGGATAGCTGTGAAACTCTCATGCCCTGAGATGGGAACAAAGACCATATCTCATTGCCACCTTCAAATCAAACTTTTAGCCACTCCGCATGTCAAAAGAATTTAATGGTGAAGATTTAAGTTGAACAGGGCACATAAAGGCAATTATTTGACTAGCGAGGCAATGAGAGTGGGCATCATAGCTAGGAGTTTGAAAAGCTATGTGTTGTCCCTTTCCCGTGGTGCTCTAAGCATGTACTTATATTGCCGAAATGTTTAATCTGAGGCTGATAATACCTCTTGAGCAAGGTAGCCTGGTAGGCAGGCTGCTGGGTACAGAAAAACAAAAATAAAATTAGAGCAGCCCCATGGCCTCTACTGCACTCAGGATACCTGTTGAATGACCAATGCTTGTATACAGGAAATTGTCGGTGCTTGTATACAGGAAATTGTCGGTGCCCAAATGCAGGAGGCTTGGGCAGAACCAGTCAGAACAGGCACAAGTGCAGTCTACACCAACACAAAGATTGCATATTCCCATGCTTTTTGAAGCCATTGGACTGAGAAATCCTCCATGGCATAGAATAGACATGGGGAAGGATGGGATGAACAGCCTCAATTTCCTTCTCTAGAAATCCCTACATCTTATTGGCTTGGGTTGCTGGGGTCACGCTTGTGTTAAAGGCAACCCAAATGCTATTGTGAATGGGATGTGAAACTTTTCCAAGCCCTTGAATGGGAAGCAGCTTGAGCAAAAATAAGTTTGACAACCCTTTGACTTGCTATCATCGGTTGAGTTCACATGTAGTTTGTCTAGATTTGACTCCACAGATTAAATGGCACTAATTACTGCAGCTTGTAAACTATGATTTATGGCATAAGTGAACTCAGATTTTGTGGGTTAAACCACTAATCAGGGCTAAGGCAAATCATGCTGTCCTGTAATACACAGATCCAACCTTCTCAATCCATTTGTCGCTTTTTAAAGCTCTTTTGTCGGCAAAAACTCAATAGTACTTTTCCCTCCACCTCAAATCAAATTGCAGTGATGAGGAAAGCTGTCTTTCATTAGTGTAAAAAACAGCCTTTGTTCTGCAACTCCCTCCTCGAGAGGGAGGGCAAGTCCATCATGCCTGTCAAGCATCAAATGTCCAAACCTAACTTCTCAGTTCATTATTACTCAGATAACATAAAGGAAATATACCGATCCTTATGAGGAGTGTTAAATAAAATTACCTCTGCCATCCCCTACTAATTTTCATCAACAGACACAGATATAAACATTGTGCTTTATTGATATTTGTATTACACACACACACACACACAAACTTCTGTAAGGTCTTCTGCAACAGGAAGTACCTCTGTCTGGGAAACCATCCTTTCTTTGAAAACGGTTAAATGTGTAATCCTTGCCCGGCAAGAAATAGGCCTCTAAGTCTGAGGATATATGTAATAATTCATATTCAGCTCCCAGTAAAATCACAGTAACTGAGGTTCCCAAACCTTGGAAATCTGTCACCTTGTTAGATTCAGTTTTTTGAATCAGCACTGCTTTGATAGGGAGGCAGAAAGTTGTGGTGCCCTGTAAACCCTTCTAAATATAACTCCACATGTGACCCATGCCTGTTGCTATTCTTGCAATTTGCTTACATCTTGGCACAGGAAAGGACTTCCATCATCATAGCCAGTGACAATAGAGACAGTGCATGTTTGTTTGTTTGTTTTCTTCCTTGTTTTTAAAACAACACTATTATTCCTTGTTATTCTGAAGCTGGAACATTGTACTATGCCAACATTTGGATTCCTTTCAATTTGGTTTTTTAAAAAAAGACAAAAACCTTCATTTCAACCAGTTACAAAGCAAGGCAAAAATAAAACAAAGCAATCCAACGTGAGTTTTATGACAAACAATATACAAAATAGGGAAACATTAAAAGTGGCACTTTTATCCTACAAAAACAATTGTTCTAAAACAATTCAATGAGTTGCTTTCATGTTTTCATTTTCGCCCTAGTCTGAAACAATTGGCACCTACTTATTGTACCTCAATGACAGCCTTATCTCCGATGCTGGTTGTTGTTTATATGGCACTGATGCATAACTGAAGGGAGAAGCAACAGCATCTGAAGTAAGGGTTAGGGATTAGCACACCTTCACTTAAAAATCCCAGCAACATGGATCCCTCTATTTTAACACTAATTTATCACTTTCCTCTCTCCTTAAATTGAGGGTGGGTCAAATTTCTTTCTACAAATAAAACCATTACAACCAAATAAATGTGCCAAAACTATAGATGTAGAGTTGCAAAAAATACAGCATTTCAGTAAATGTGATTAGTAAATGCTATAAGTGAAGGGAAGACTAAAATTGGGGAGGTTTTCTTCCTCTCAGCCCCAATATTTCTGAATAGTTTTCTGAATAGTTTTTATCCCAGAGCTACAATTGCACTTAACAATGAACTTAAACACCACCATCAGTGAACTGTTGGACAGTATTACTTAGTCTGTAGTGCAGATGCTTGTATGTGTTTAGGAGGTGGGGAATTTTGGCAGGTGGGGAGGTATTTGCGGATTGTTGCGTGTGTGCATGTTGAGTCTGGTCTCTGGGTGTTATGTGAATTTCGTTGTATGTATACTGTGTATATACGTACAATGACAATAAATAATTCAATTCAATGTGTATCAAAGAAATTCTTGGGCTGAAACTCTCATAGATTTGCTAGATTTGAAAGTGGCCTACATAGTTCTTCATTCTGTTGAGAATTTGATCTGTAGCAATGTAATGGTGATAGTAACTGGGGAATCATCCTTCATGTGAAGTAATAATATTGTTGGGGCTTGTTAAATAAAGCATAGAAGAGCACTGACCCTAGCCACTATTTATTCTTATGCTATGAAAGCTGTAGCTAACGTTTCTTCATAATGATCCCTATTGTAAGCATAGCTACTGCACACCAAACTATTATTATTTTTTTGCTAGAGATATTCTGGAACAAAAAAAAATTGGATTGCAGCCTTTGGAGACAGGCTGCAAATCCAAACAGTAATGTATCCATTTATGGTAATATACAGAGAGCCACTTTGGTCTAGTAGTTGAGGCATCAGGCTAAAAACCAAGAAACTGAATTCTAGTCCCGCCTCAGGCATGAAAGCCAGCTGGGTGATTTTTGACTGGCCCAGAATCTCATGCTGGGGACAGTTCAGTTCCTGTCATAACCAATGGATCAGCATTCAGTTGATCTGAAAAAGCAGACTTTTGCACCCCTGGGAAAACTCTAGGGAAAAAAAACAAATTATGCTAAATTTTAACACACCTGTGTCTATTAGAATATGCCTTGATTTATCTGGAGTATTTTATGCATTCTTCGCATAAAAGCTCTCACAAAGTGAGCATCAAAGCAGTGTTAAGTTTTGCTTCTTTACACTTACAGGTATCCAGGCCCAAATAGTCTAAAACCAGAAGCAGTTAAACCAGTTAAAATTGCTTTTCTAATTTCAGTTTTGTTGTATGGGAATTTTATTTCAAAATTCACTGCTTTTGTGTGTTTTTTTTCTTGAAGGAAGGTGGGCTAATTTGTCTAACCAAAATTTAGAAATATTTCTAATGAACATATCTGGTCTAGAGGTCTGTGATCTTCTGGAAGAAGAGAGCAGCTTTAGAAAAAGAGCTGGAAAAAACTTCCTGGCTCAAAAATCAAGCAAGGATTTATTTACTTTTTGCAATCTGGTGGATTTTGATTTTAAAATATAACAAATCTATGTTTGCATACTCAGAACTAAATTCTACTGTGCTCCTTTGGGATTACGCCATTATTTTACAAATGTTTATGGCATGCACAATTTAATCAATTTACAATGTTGCTTTTACCCAGATTTGTTCTACTATGGAGGGCAGAAGGAATGGGAAAAGCTGTGTTTGCTTAATGAACAAGGAAAACACATTTGTATTTCCCACTTCCTCAAAAGATTTTGTTTCAATGAATTTCTATCTCAGTCCAGTCAGAAAGCAAAGTATCTTATCCAGTTTACACACTAGAGGGCAGCCTGTTAGCATCCACAGCACCTTTCTCTTCTTGTTTGGCTCTCGAGCATTTCTAATTGGCGGGAGCTAGAATGAATTGGGCGGTTTACAGCCCTTCAGATATGACTATACCTTAAGGAATTCTGATCTGGGCAGGAACAGAACTGATTTGTTCAATCAGCATTTTGTGTTTCTCAAAATCAGCAGTAGCAAAAGATGACTAATGGCCCAGATTCCTTCAGAATCCCTTGAAACTCAAGGTCAGTTTAACTCCAATTGAGTTCAACCATCAGTTTAATAATGTACACTTGAAAATAAACCATCATGGTTGCAACCTGGCTCTCGTGAGCAAAGAATGGAATTTCCTTTTATATCACACACTCTTCCTTTTTTTCCCCTTCTCTCAATGTGATTCCGAGGGGGAAAATAGCATGGCAGGCAACCATCAAAGCAGACTGACTGCTTGCTTGCATACACACACACATACAGGTTTTCTGAAATATCCACTGACATTTTAGTCAGACATTGGCAATTGTAAGGAGTACCCAGAGACTAGCAGCATGGGCTGTAAAACTATCTGGATAATTGCTCTGACCATAACAATGCTGCATGGTAAATTCTGCACTAGTCTACAATAGTGACCAATTACATAAGAGAGGAACATACTGTTCAAACTTTAAAAAAAAAAATCACAGTCTTAGCCTCTCCCAAATTGGGATGGATTTTTGCTTTTTCTAAATGCCTATTTTTTGCTGTAATCCGGAACACCTGAGTTATGTCAAGGTTGTATGTTCTGTAATAAGCCCTCAAGGTAGGGAGGAGTAATGATGAGAAAAGGGGAAAAATTGTTCCCAAATCATGCTCTGGTATAAATGAGCTTGATTCAAAAGAATAATAATAATGCCATAAAGCTCAATGTGCTTTGATGCCCTTTCAAACAAAAGTACATTAGTTAACTTCAGGAATCAGGAGACGTCCCTCCTGTTATCGACTTTTTTGTAGCAAGGATTAGGTAGTTGCTGATCTCTTTCCTTGGCCCCTAATCTGACAAACATCTCCATGTTTCATTCTAGCAAAGGAGAAAATATAAAACTTATTGCTTTAAAAAATGTCTCTGCCTCTGGCATCTTCTGCATAGGACCATAGAAAGATTCCTTCCCCCCACTTCCTTATAATGTTGGCACTCTCTCCCGATTGCTCATGGTTTGGAGGTATTGAAGATTATTGCTGAAAGAAAGAAGAATATTTAAAGTTGCTTGTCATCGTGAACATCTAAATGTCTGAAGTGGAAATTGGTCTCCTGCCATGGTAAGGCTTTGTTCATATCCACTCTTCTCATTGTGATATGGGGATTCCTAACAGCACAACAGAAACATCACGACATAGACAGAACCAAGAGTGCCAAATGTCTTTTTGAGAGGTAGGAGCAAAAACCTAGTCATCTCATAGCTCATGCATGGACGTATTGGCTTCTTCAATGAGGTTGCTTGTAACAAGTTCTGAGAAAAAAGTATCATTATCCTTCATATCCACCCTGAGGATTAATCAACTCCTCTACTGTTATACATATTACTAGAGGAATATATCACAAGTGTCGGCCTCCTTTTTCTCAGTAGTTTCTTCCTTCAGCCTTATGGCTCAGCACATGCTTGGTTCACAATTAAGGCCCCTGCTTGTAATGGACAGAGGGTTGTCACAGAGCGCAACACTTCCCTAGGCAGCCTAAAGGACTGGCTTTATCAAAGCTGCTTCCAGTGTCATCCATCTGTGGGCAGAGCACTTTGGTTTGGAGCAGCTGCTAGTAAGTCTCTTTGAAAACCCTGCACTATAAAAGTAGGTGTCACTCTGTTTGCATACAGGAACGGATTCCAGTTTGAAGCGTGCTTCCTCAACTGGTCCTATTTGCTTTGTGGGTCCAGAGCCTTCGAACGGAAGAGACCCAACCGAAGACAGCTGTTGATCCACAGTGCAAGACGGGAAAACTGCAATGCAGTTGTTCTTCAGAAGCTCATAATCGATGTACTTACGTTGCTAACTATGGTCAACATCACAGAGGCTTTGGAGAGGAATAGAAGTCTGCCTTTGCAATTCACAATCACCATAAAGTGTGATTGCGTTAAGGTTTTTTTTAGCTACCCATGAAGAGTCAGAGAAAGCTTCCCCCCCCCCCCCCAGCTATGTTCTCTGAGCGTCCACTTTGCTGAACATCCGGCTGTGCCAGTAATCCGGATTATCGAAGGCACAATCTGAGGAGTCCAGTGTGCGCAAAGGTTTCATGAAGCCATTCTTGGGACAGGGTGGACTCTGGCAGTCAAGATACTGGACTGGGGGCAACACAGCACCCATTTCCTCATATCCCTGCTCATCTGGGGAGCTCTGGGTGATGCCAGAATCCATATCAGTATAGTCTCCCTGAGAACTGCGGATGCTACTCAGGGACTTGCTAAGTTTGGGCTGCTTGTTCATATACTCGTAGTCCTCTTCCTCGTCTTCGTCCTCCCTGCAAGGTGTAGTCATTTGGGAGCTTGGCACACTGCCCAAAGAGGCACTCAGCTCTGAGCCAAGATCCATATACTCATAGCCAAGCTCCTCCAAAGAGGCCGGCCGGGGTTGTGAGGATTGTGGAGTGCGGCGGTTCATGTACTCATACTCTTCCTCCACTTCATGTACAGGGATGGAGCCATGCCTCAGGGAAGCGGTAAGGCCAGCAGCACGCTCTGTACAAAAAAAAAAAAAGACAAAGGTTTTGTCATTTTGTGGTCACCTAGAACAAGAAACAGCCATTGCTAAGGTTGAGACAAGAACCCCCATGGAATTGGGGTAGACCTGTAAGTGAATTCAGCACAATAGTGGATTCTGCTTCTAGGAACAATGGAAGGAAAAAAAGAGTCCATGCAGACTGTCTAGTGTTGCCTTGTGTGAAAGCAGGTAGGGTTACACTTATCTGGACTCATCCCTATTCTAAGAAATAACAAAAGGACAACATCAGGTGCAACCCCATAATGTTTCAAAACTGAATTGAATGCAGAGAATGAGATCATGGAAGCTGTACCTGCAACTCCATTATAGGGCCATGCCAGTTTCAAGGTCTGGGATAATTCCATTGCGAGGAGGAGGAGGAGGAGGAGGAAAGAGGTAGCAGCAATTCCCCTGAACCATAGCTTTTGCTTATTCTATTTCAGAGTGGCTGTCTTCACTTCAGAGTAAAGTTATTAGCTATGGCCAATTAATGGCCAACAACTGGAGTAAGTCAGGGTGAAAAGAGAGCCAAGATTATCTCTATGGGGCAGATCTGATAATAACCCTGGTTTCTCCATCATTGCATGGGTACATTCAGTATTCTTTAGAGACGAGGGCATGAACTGCATCTCACTTCACCGCAGGGCCATTTCTATGATGCTCTTACCTCTGCCATTTCGATCTGGCATAACATAGCCATTGGCATCCTCCTCTCCATCAGCATTGCCAACGGGCAGCATAAGACTCTCCCTCTGAGAGAGGTAAGCACTGTCTCCCCGGGATTGGAGGCTGCGGCATAAGCTTCCAGACAGTGACAGATCCTCCGTGAGGTCGTAATCTGAGGTTGTGCCTCGTCCTTCAGAGGACTCTGACATGGTACGGCCCATCGACTCCTGCCTTCTGCGTAATGTCTGCTGGGAGCCCAATCCTATACCCTGGATCCAAAAGGGGTCAAAAATCAGGTAACGATAAAGATTTATTAAGGTCCAGAAGGCTCCCATTTTCTCTGGTTACTAGAAGTGGTAATGATGCTTTACAAATGACTATTTCCAAATCTCTACAGCCCGCTTTGTCACTGATAAGAATTCTGGGAGTTGAATTCCACACATCCAGAGAACAATGCTGTCCCAAAGCTTTAAATATATGGAGTCATCCAGCCATGCTCTAAAGCAGGCCTACCCAATTTAGAAGCACCCAAGAAGGCCTAGGCCTTTAGTTGTCAATGGTAGTCCATTGTAGCTCAGAAGCTAAAAATCAGGAAATTTGTCAAGGGCCAAACATGTACAAATGCATGGCTAGTGACATTCAGAAGTCACAAATTATAAGGAATGGCCAAGATTGTGGGGGAGGGGGAATAGCCTTTATCTGGAAGGTCTCTATCTATAGAGTTTCTTTAATAGTAGACACCAGACCTTCTAACATAGCATTCTCCAACCTGGCACAATCCAGATATTTTGAAGCACAGCTCCCATATTTCCTTATTAGCATAACCCAATACTTGTAGTCTGGAAATAATAATGTGACTCCCTTGGAGATACATTAGGAAAAGCTAAGATAAATTTTCTGAAGAACATTAAGGCTTTCTCTTTCCCGCCACCCACTAACAACACCATTCACTGCCTCCCTCCCCCCATACTAGTGGTGGACCTATAGTGGCTTATTATATTCCAGCTTTTTTTTCTTAGAAGAAATCTGTACCTGCCGACTTCCACAGAGGCTGCTTTGATTCATGGGGATGTATCCAGCAGATGAGTTCAGAAGAGTTGGAGGCTGGAGTAGATTTAAAATGAAAAAGAAAAGAAACAGTGTTGAATATCAAATTGGGTTTTTTTTCTTAATATATATACAGAATTCTGCTTTCAACAAAAGTTTTCAATTCTAATATCATATAATGAGACAAGAATTAACATTCATTAATTTTCATTTACAAATGAGTCTTAATCCTACATCTGTACATTCACCCCTGAGGAATGCAGCTACCAAATTCTAGTTGGCAGAGGCTGTAGGAAGTGCAGAGGAAGCTCCAGGTTTCCACTCTGTTGAGGATCCCAGTTGACTCTCGGCAGTTGACTCTCGGCAGTTTCCAGAGAGCCCCAGTTCCCCATTGAAGACCTGGATCAGTCACAGCACTGAAGACCTAGGATCAGTCACAGCTCTTCCTGCCTATCCTTAGGTTGCCTCCTGACCATTTTGCTGTGTATTAGGCCATCTTACACTCGTCTGTTTTCTAAGTGGGAGAAATAAAGGCAATAGCACTTAAGACTTATATACCACTTCAGAGTGTTTTGCAGCCTTATTACAGCCATGGTGGCACAGTGGTTAGAATGCAGGCTAATTTTGCTGGCTGTCAGGAGTATGATCCTGACTGGCTCAAGATTGACTCACCCTTCCACCCTTCCAAGGTTGGTAAAATGAGGAGCCAGATTGTTGGGGACAATATACTGACTGTAAACCGCTTTAAGAGAGTAGTATTTGAAAGCAAAGCCCCTTCCAATCAGCTAAAGCAGTGGCCCTCAACCTTTTGGGCACCAGGGACCGTTTCCATGGAGAGAGGTTTTTCCTTGGACCGGAGAGGGCGTGGTTTCACGTGCTGCCTGCATCCTGTCGATGGGGCTTTGCTTGCTTGAGTGGACTGGTTTCTGGCATGCTGAGGACTGGTGCCAGTCAACAGACCAGGCATTGGGGACCCCTGAGCTAGACCAGCAGAACATTTCTTTTCTCAGTGCAACTGAAAAGCCAGTGTTCCCCCAAGGGCCTTCTGGTGTGGTCCTCTAATTAATCACCCAACTTCAGAAATCTCACTTGTCCCAAACAGTACAGATATATATTTTTGATGGTTTAAATGTACATCTAATAAATTATTCCACAGCTTTGGCCCAACTTTCTAATTAGCCGGTGGGAGCAGTGTCACACAGACTATGGTAAGGGGGAACCTTCTTACCCGTGTGGAAGCCTCCCATTGCCGAGAGGCAAAAAGATTGTGAAGTTCCTCTTCTTCCAACTCTGATTCCATCTCCAGTGTTTCCATCTCATCTAACTCCTTTTCGCTGAGTGAAGGTGGCTCTACTGGAGATAGCATCCCGCTTTCTCTCTGTGAGGAAGGCCAAGTATTGCCTTTTAACATTATTTCAAATTATTTCAAAAATTTCAAATAGTAACCTCTTAATACCCTGCCTCAGCTGCTGAGCACTGTCATTAAACACCACTGAGGGGAACATAGTGAGAGCAGAACATTTCACCTCAGGATAAGAGGCCTCTGTGTAGAACTGAAGAAAGGGAAGGACTAGGCCTCCAGTTATCCTGGAAGTCCATTCCACGCTCTCTTCAGCTCTTGGTTTCTATAACATTCAGGCATGATAAGAGAGAAGATCCAAACTGCATAGGGATGAACTGCAACCAAAATTATCCTGGCAGACATTTCTCTTACTGTATCAAGCAATATGCTGTGGAATCACACCTGTGTTTCAAGCAGGTTCCATGGTGAGCCTTGAGATCTTAAAAGGCCATGCCAAAGAACTCAGCTATGAGATGAGAACTTATGAGGCTACTCTGTTTAATGGGACATAGCCATTTTCTGGTAAGGTAACTGCTTCAGCTGTGGCATAGGAAATATTTTATTATGCAGCAACTTAAGAAAGTTAAAAACATTCTCAGAGATCCATATCATCCTGGGAAACCCCCCCCCCCCTTTTTTTTGAACTATTACCATCTGGCAGACAGTACAGAATAATAAAAACAAGGACAAATAGGCTGAAAAACAGCTTCTATCCCAGGGCAGTAGCTCTTTTGAATTCTGCTGTCTAGTGCAGTGTTGGTGTGGTGTCGGGGGTTTCCAGTTCAATGTATGAAGGGTGAAGGATGTGTGTTTGTGTTTATTTTCATGGTCATGATGTGCACTGAAGGTGGTGTTTGATTTTGTTGTACGAGGTGCAATGATAATAAAAGTAAAGTAAACTAAACTAAACATATTTCCTTTAAAGAAAATATTTATTTCTTTTATAAGCACCGGCATGCCACACCCAACTTCCTGCCTATGTCTCACACAAACTATCTTTCTATTTATCTATCTTGGAAAAGTGAAACATGACCAGGTCCTGTCTGATAAGCAGGATGTAACCACTGACCTAATAGGATTGCAGAAAAAAAGCCTAAGGACATCTCATGGATGTAACAAACGCATGCTTAACCAAACCGTTGAGTATTTAACACCTTTAAGGTCTCCATTGGTTTAATGTGTAACCAGCTGGGAAAGGGAGTCAACAACTGACCTTAATCACCAGGTAGCGAGGAGGGTCACGGGCCATTCGTGTGAACTCATTGGCTAGCTCTTTGAAGGTGGGACGAATGTTCTCATCAATCATCCAACCTGTAAGGTTAGAAAAAGTAAAAAAAAAAACACCTTTCAAATAAGCACCAAATACCACATCTCCTATAGTTTAGGACAGAGGTGGGGGAACTATGGCCCCTTTATGACTTGTGGACTTCAATGCTGTCTCAAGTACTCTGGGAGTTGAAGTCCACAGGTCATAAAAGGGCCATATGTCTATGGAGATTGTCAGTCATCCGGGTCACGGTTGTCCCAGAGCTGAAGAAGCTTCTTGGATGAGAAGTGAAATGTTTTCAAAGGAAAACCAGAAAGTCCAGTTCCTCTTGAAAAAGCACTTATGGGTAAAAGGGCCATAGTTCCTCACCCTGGGTTTAGGGTAACATGATAAACCCTGTGGTTTCTCGATTAGTTGATGAAAAAACATTATTTTAGAACACGGGTGTCAAACTCAATTGCACCATGCGACCTATCGTGATTTTTTTTTTTTGCCTTTGAGGAGCTGGGGTGAGTGTGGCCTGCATGTGACGCATCTGGCCTATGGGCCCCCAGTTTGATGCTCCTGTTTTAGAAGGCGTTAGTGAAGCAGGAATATAAAATATATATACATACATTTTACCATCACCATGTAGACATCAATGGTACAGATCTGGGGTTGTGAGAGGCGTTCTCCCTTTTCCAGTAGGTCAGGAACTTCCGAAAGGTGGATTCCAGCATATGGTTCTCCTCCAAAAGTCATCATCTCCCACAATGTCACTCCTGTTAGGATGAAAAATGTGAGTGAATACATCAAACTGGATGTTGCATGGTTAGCTACCTGTATCATATGTGTAAATAAGAGTTCTAATTTTTTTTTCACCCAAGTTTACAACTTTCCTGAAATCTATCCATGGAACCCCCTAAGTTAAAAAGCCATTTTCAACTTTAGAACATTGAAGGAGAAGTATCCTGGCACCCAACATTGTATATAGACAGTCTCTGAATAAGCCAAAAGACTTCCACAGCCTCAGGAGCAGACACGATTACAGGTAGTCCTTGTCTTACAATATTTCATTTAGTGACCGTTCAAAGTTACAAGGCGCTGAAAAAAAGTGACTTTATGACCATTTTTCACACTTACAACCATTGCACCATCTCCATGGCCAAGGGATCAAAATTCAGGTGCTTGGCATCTGACTCATAATTATGACTGTTGCAGTATCCTGGGGTCATGTGATCCCCTTTTGCGACCTTCTGACAAGCAAAGTCAATGGGAAAACTAAATTCTCTTTTAACAACTGTGTTACTGTCATGACCCTTGTGGAGACTGACTCTGAGGGGGAGGAGAAACAGCCGATAGGGAGTGGAAGTGTGGCTCTGGAAGTTGTGGAGGAGGCTGGGGAAGGGCAGAGGCCGGCTGGGCAGTCAGAGGAGGACCCAGGTCCATCCACTTTCCATCCTAGGGCACGCAGGGAGGAGAAGATAAGGGAGAGACGTGGTCTACTTGGGAGGAGAGGGCCTTGATTCTCTTCATGGGCTGCAGCTGTGACAACTGAATAAGAGGACGGACATGTGTATGGGTGAACGCAGGAAACAAAGCATGGAAATATCTCTAGTTTATGGTTCCTCTCTGAGTTTGGCGTCCTTTCCAGTGTGTGTTCTGTTATCTGTGGACGTCCTCCAGCCCTTATCTTGCCTGGTTTGTGTTGTTTTTTCCCCCTCCTTCTTGTAACTGCTTGTGTGGGAGTTTTTTTGTCTTCCGTCAAGGATATTTGGAGCTTGGAAGCAAAGTGAAGGAATAAAAGGGGCTTCACCGGGTTTTTGTGACTGTTTATTTTGTATCCCCACCCTGGGTCATCACAGTTACTAACTTAACTGCAATATTCACTTACTAACTGTGGCAAGAAAGGTCGTAAAATGGGACAAAAGTCACTTAACAATTTTTAGCAATAGAAATTCTGGGCTCAATTGTGGTTGTAAGTCAAGGACTACCTGTATTGTCCATGAGTGGAGAACATTCAGCAAGCAGCAGCTCTTAATAACCTTAATAACCTAGCACAAAGATTCCTAAAAAGCAAGAGGAATGTTGTCAGAGGGACCAAAACAGTTGCCACAAGTGTGGGCAGATTGTTCCTGCTTTCTTCTCATTGACTGCATGTCTTGATCTGGAAGGAGGAAAATTACAGACTACAGGTCCCTTTTCCCCATGCATGAAGGAGGACAAGCACTTCACAGTTCCTAATCCGTTTGTTACTGATAAAAATCTTAAGAGTGTCTTTGAGTTCTTACTGGACGATCAGTTCACCAAAGATCTCCAAGTATCTTAAAGTATAATGAAGGCAGGTCTAGTAGGGCTGTGGGAATCGCCCTTGATCTGATTTAAATAATTCAACAACACGAGTCAATTTAAACTATAAAATCTTCAAAGCCTAAATTTGTCTGTCTTGCAACGCCTGTTTTGTCATTAGAGATTAATATGAAGTCCAATAAAGCAAACCAAGTTATAGGATCAAATAAAACAAAAGTACCGATAACGGTAGAATATGTATAGCTCAGGGGATGAAATGAGGGGTCCTTGGTGCCTTCTGATCTTTGACTGTTTTCTTGCAGACGTTTCATTACCAAACTAGGTAACATCATCAGAGCACCAAGGATCCCTAAAAATGTCTTGATTTCTAGAAACTTATAACAATAACAAAGATTGAGTAGATACTGTCAAATTCTTAATAGATGGAACAATCAGGCACATACCATAACTCCACACATCACTTTGGTGTGTGTATTTTCCAAAGTGTATACTTTCCAATGCCATCCACTTTATTGGTGTCTGAAAAACACAAAGAAAGGAAAATTCTAAGGATGAATTTGATCTACCTGTTAGATAAGCACACATGGAGACATTGGCAGAACTTTCTTCGTGAGTTGAGCAACTCTGAATGTGATTCCCTTTCCCTTGGAACTTTTGAACTAAACTGGTTCTTTAAATCTTAAAGGATATGTTTTTGTCAAATTGTAGCTCACAACTCCTTGACATGTCGTGTGTTCAGTCATGATTCTTCCAGCCAACCAAGAGTGTGAGAAGAGCACCATTCAGTTGGTGTCCTGACCCATCTGACTACTTAGCAATAAAAATCACTACTTGCAATATAAAGAGAGCTTTGCTCCAGTTTTAATGACCTAGTGCAGAAGTACAAATAATGAACTTTTCTCCCCAATGTCTGATTGTGAAATCAGGCATATCTACAGCTGAATCTAAATTGGTACAAAACACTCATGTAGAAGTGCTGTCACACACATACACATCCATCCATCCACCCATGTCTCTCTCTCTTCGATCCTTCTCTCTCTCTCTCTCTCAAAAACATTTTTCTTTCTTTCTTTCCTTCCTTCCTTCTTTCCTTTCTTTCTTTCCTTCCTTTTTTTCCTTCCTTTCTTCCTTCTTTTCTTTCTTTCTTTTTCTTTCTTTCCTTCATTCCTTCCTTCCTTTCCTGCCTTCCTTTCCTTCCTTCCATTCATTCCATTCATTTCTTTCTTTCTTTCTTTCTTTCTTTCTTTCTTTCTTTCTTTCTTTCTTCCTTCCTTCCTTCCTTCCTTCCTTCTTTTCTTTCTTCCTTTCTTTCTTCCTTCCTTTCTTTCCTTCTTTCCTTCCTTCCTTCCTTCCTTCCTTCCTTCCTTCCTTCCTTCCTTCCTTCCTACCTTTCTTTCCCTGAAACAGGTACTAACCTTAATTTCATTGTAGAAGTATTTCTTATCATCTGGGTAGAGCAAATCAGCAATGCCAAAATCTGCCACTTGTACTTGGTTAGGGGATTTAACCAAAACATTACGGGCAGCCAGGTTGCGATGTACCATGCAATGTTCTTCCAGATAGCACATACCCTGAATATTAAGGAGGAGATAATCAATTTTGCCATTTCCATGAATTCCATCATTTTTACAACCCATTCCTGCATTATAGGTATTTCATTACTTTTCCATCGTCATGTCTTGAAGCAGTTGACATATACAAAACCAAACTTCCATAAGTCATTTCTAATTGGTTATCTATAAGTCCCAGTAAGAATACTTCTGGTTTCAGCTGAGTATTAGACTTTAGAATTCTTTATATCACCTATGCATTTCTATCTCAGTGTTTGTTTGTTTTGCTTTTTTGCAAGTCCACCAATCTTCTTATGAATGACTGTATTCCAAAGCTCAAGACAGTTAGATTTATTATGGTTGAGCATCTGATTCATAATATTCTGTGCTAACCTTGCCCTTACATGTTAGCTCAGCTCATCCTAATATAAACCCAAGTATTTCATTTCATTCCCTCTCTCTTCAAGAGATTGCGGATTTTGAAAAGACTGCAGATCCTGTGATCTGTAAGAACTCTCATCCGTGGGGCCATCCAAGAACGTATTGGGGAAAAGCAAAATTGAAGGAGGTTGAACATTTGTAGAACTTATGAAAATATATTACATCATTAAAAAAAATTGAAACAAGTTTTAGGATGTACACTTAGTTCACATTAGATTAGATCTGTTTAGGCATGTGGCTGCCCTGTATGAGTCAAAAGAGCAACCAAGAACAACACCCTTGTACAGACGCATAACTGCAAGGTAAGTTAAACAGAACATTAAAAAAATATTTCAGGAACGTTTCTCCAACTTCACTTATGACAGTGAAAATATAACTGTGCCTCTACAAAATATCCTGTGTCCTTAAAGTCTTGCAGTTTGTCTATCCTGCAGGTAGCCCTGGTGTATATCTCATATTATACTAGAATTAGGATATACCAGATATACCAGAAATAGAATAAAAGGCATCCTTTATCTGACAAAATGGGAGGTCCTAACTGACCGGGAAAAGGCTAGTCTTGTACAAAACCTACCTTGGCAATCTGGACACACCAGTTGAGCATCAACTGAGGGCCGATGGCATCCCTGTTTTTGCGCACGTACTCCAGCAGGGAGCCCAGTGGTAGAAGCTGGGTGACAAGTTGCAGCTGGGAACCAATGCAGATGCCCAAGAGACGGACAATGCACGCGTGATCCAGGCTACCTATAGCTAGCATGTGCTGCACAAAAGAAAAATAAAGGTAGCATCAGGGTAAAGCTTTGATCGCAGTTGAAAGTGAAGGCAGGAACTGGGAAAGTTCCAAGGGGAAAAAAAATAAAATAATAATAATCCTAGCATGGACTGAATACAGAATCAGCAGTGGTACTTCTTAGTTTGATTCAGACTTTTCACTATCCACCATCCGCCCTCCATCCTCACTCCTAGTCTACCAATAGATATGTAAGAGATTAGCCATCTCCTCCAAACAGTGGCCAAGAAAAGCTTCCAACAGACTGTCAATCTATGCTTTTAATATGACTTTCCATAGGGGCAGGGAGTGGGGATCATGAAGCAGCAATGATGGTGCTATTGAAACAGCATCAGGTAAGGATCCTTCTTGCAATGCGAATGCTTGTCAAAGATCTGTCCTGCCCATCATGCCCCAATCTGTTGGCAATACCATAGACTTCTGTATGCTCCTGTAGCAGTTCTCTTGCAAAAAAAGGTGATATAAATGTCCTGGGCCCTCTAGACTTTCATACCGATGACTTAATTTACTACAACCTTCCTCAGTCTGACCTCCTACAAATGCATCAGGATTATAGTTCCCAATTTCTAATCAGCATCTATAGAACCAACATGTCTGGAAGGCGCTATTACGGAAATCCAGGTTGTTATATAGAATGTGCCCTGGCTGTGGTCAGGCACACTTCTTTCTCTGCCTTATAGGGAAAAGAGGGCAATGGCCTCTCTCTCCCCCCACCCCCCCTTGCTTTTCATTCCAAGAGGTCATTAGAGTTCTCCTAGCTCTTGATTTGGATGCAGCTAGAAGAGGAAGGAGACTTAACCCTGACTTACAAGTGGAAATTTACAAGAGGAGGTTTGCATTTACAGTATCAATAGGGACAGACATCCTCAAGATAAACTAAAAGTACTTATTGTTCAGAGGAACAATAATGTTAGAGGGAATGAAACCATTGGCTATGTAGAAATGCCCTAAACTCCCCCTTGTTTTGAGAGAGAGAGAGAGAGAGAGAGAGAGAGAGAGAGAGAGGCAGGCAGGCAGGCAGGCAGGCAGGCAGGCAGGCAGGCAGACAATCATTGTCCTATTCCCAAAAGACTGATATGCAAAGAAGGTGAGAGCCAGTTTGGTACATTGGCCAAACTGGTGACTAGAAACCAGGAAACTGGGAGTTCTAGTCGCACCTTAGGCATGAAAGATGGCTGGGTGAATTTGGACCAATCAACTCTCTCTCAGCCCAACCCATCTCATAGGGTTGTTATAGAGAAAATAAGAGGCGGAAACATGAGATAACTTCATCTACCTTGAATTATGTATTAAAAAGGTGGAATAAATAACAATAATTTATGCTGGACACCCCTCCCTATCTTCCATGTTAAACGTTTCTGATTAGGACTACAAAGAGAATGATTATGAGGGCCATAATCAGTAATCACAGATGCAAAGTCTTCAGTCTTACAGAAACATTGAGGTGTACCAATAAAAAAAACCCAGTAGCTCAGGGATGAAGTTCACCATACATTCAAATATGCTTCTGAGTTATCAGCTATTAGCAATTCCATCACAATTAAAAGTGACCAGCAAAGTTGAATAAATATTCAGTCAAAAGCAACGAATTCATATCCAGATCAACTGACCGAAGAGGATTTCCTTGCAGTTGAAAAACAAGAAATCTGATGCCTTTTGGGATTTGCTGCACTTTATCCAGAAATTTATCAGTAGATAATGATCTATTAATTTCTTGTCTGCCTGCCTGTGCAGGAGAAGGAATTTGTGGAGGCCAATCGCACCTTCTCTGCCTGTGACCTACGTGGCACTTACATCAGTTACAGCATGGAAGGACTGTCGCCCACTCGGATCCTGGATAACTTTGATGCTTACAGGGATCTTAATAGAGTCTCCTTCTGGAATCCAGACCCCCTAGAAAGAAGGAAAACTGGGAATGACCAATTGTTTGAAATGAGGAACCATGCATTAAAATCATAAATATTGAGGAATGACTGGGAGACATGGTCTTCTAAAGTTCTTATCTATCTTATCCAGTCTGTCATTCAGCAAATTCTAGGTGGATTTTTTTTTCTATCTACTTCTCTTTTCAAGCTCTTGTTTTGTCTTAACAGAGGGTCCCATTACTATAAACTTTTAACCATGAAGCAGTGATAACTCTGATTAAAGGTCATATTTGCCCATCATCAGAATTTTTAAAAGCTCCATCTCAGCCAAAGGGGAAAGTCAGGGTGCTCTTTATATAATACTCCACAGTGTATTGAGCTGAGTCACTTCTCTGTTTAAGAGAGACAAATGCAATGTTACTTAGGAAACAGAAAGCAAATGTAGAGAATGCTTGACTTGATAAAGTACTCATGAACTGTAGCTAATCATAGACTGAACGTAGGACAATAGTGAGATTTAACTGCTAAGCAAGGCAACTGCAGTTTTAGGCTGCAGCGACAAAAACATTTCAATTAAATCATGGAAAGCAATAATTCCTTTTTATTCTGCTTTGATCCAACCACAACCCAAATACTGATTTAGCACTGGGCACTGCATTTTAAGAAGACAGCAGAGAAATTGGAACAGATTCAGAGAAGAGCAGTGGAGATGATCTGGGGCTAAGAACTAAGTCCTATAAAAAGATATTGAAGTTGTTTGGTATGCTTAGCCTTTAAAAAATGGTTGAGGAGAACTATGACAGTGTTGTCCCCTTAATATTTTCAATATCTAGAAGATGTCATGTACAAGAACTTTGGCATCTATACCAGGGGTGTTAAAGTTGCGGCCTGCAGGCTGGATGCGTCACACGCTGGCCACACCCACCCCCCAGTTTAGCAAAGGGGGGGGGAAGGTCATGATATATCAGGTGACATCGCAAGTTTGACACTCCTGATCTATAGTTCCAGGTGAAGGACACAGAATTTAGGTTATATAAATATTAGAAAAAAGTCACTGCAATAAGAGCAGTTTGACAACAGAACCAATTATGCTGGATGTGGTAGCTTCTAATTCACTGGGTGCATTCAAGTGGAGTATAGCCAGCCATCTGTTTTGGATGCTGCAAAGAGCAGGGGTTGGTCTTGGTAGCCTAAATGGCCCCTTGCAACTCTATGATCGTTGGTACACTAGCCTCTTTCCCACACCACAGAGTAAAGGATAGTCCAGGGGCCATCTTGTTTTCACCTAGAGCAGCTGCTGAATGAAAAGTGACAATAAACAAGGCAAGAGGAGTCACTTCTGACTTCATCTTTGAAAAATATTAGGAAGAGGCTCATTTTCTGCAACTAGTTTAGCATGGAAGATCTAGTCCTTCCTCTGAAAAGAACCAGTTCATTTTTCAGTAGAGCTTAACATTCAGATGTGCTGGTAGTAACAATTTCCAGAATGCTCATCCAGCTTCTGGGAACTGTAGGCCCACCATACCTGGAGGGGGCCAAACATGAGAAAAATGCTGTAGAGCAATGTTTATCAACCTTAAGACGTATGGATTTCAATTCCCAGAATTCCCCAGCCAGTCAGCTGGGGAATTCTGGGAGTTGGAAGTCCATACGTCTTAAAGGTTGCCAAGTTTGGGAAACACTGTGTACAGAATCAGCAGGGCTGCAAAGAATTAAAAAAACCCATCCAGTGCAATCTTACCCCATTCAACAAGTTTACTTATCTGATTTCTCCAACTTCCCCAGTTGTATTAGATACAATTGCTGAGCTACAAATTCCTCTTCACAGGCAGAGCAATATTCTCTATTCCTTGCTACATTGCAGCTAGAAGCAACCGGGAGCATGTTTAATCACACAGAAACAGAAGCTCTTCCTTCCAGGTTTCCAACTTACTCTGTGCACTGTTCCAAACACGCCTGATCCTAAAACTTTCAGCTTCTTTAATTCTGTCTCCTTGAAGATCCGAGCCAGGACCTTGTTGGCTTTCTCACTGGGATCCAGAGGTTCCAAACTCTGACAGGAAAAAACCCCCCACCAGAAACAGGTCAGGGATTCCTTGTTTTCTAGGTCAGGGATGGGCAACTTTTGGGGCTAAGTGCACAAAAGGATTACCACTAGAAAGTTGCCTAATTATAAAACGGATGCAATCACAAAACAGCCATTTGTGGTAAGAAAAGACTAGCCTTCTCAAGTTGCCTGATGCCACCCTAATGGGATTTTTGTAGGTTTTCAAAGGCTTTGCCTATGATGCAGAATTATAAATATGATGTAGAGAGCCAGTTCTTCACTTTGAAACCAGCAACTGTTCTAATCATTTTATTTTTGCTAAAACAAATATTTAAAATCAGGAGAGCAAGGAACCTAAGGCTCTTCTGGACCTATGGACACAGTGCTGCTTATTCCTCTGATAGTAGCATCATAATTCTCAAATATACCAAAACATTCAAGATTTTTAAAATAAGCTTCACTTCAATCTACAAAAATCGTAGCACTAGGATGGCAATTGGCATCTTGAGAAGGCTAGCCTTCTCTTCTCACAAATGGTTGTACCAAGATGATACCAAATAACTCTGAAATTCTTCCCCATCATGCCAGCATTTTTCAGTGCAATTTCTAGCACCAATATTTCTTTTAGGAACAGACATTTCTCATAGTCCTCAAGACCAGGCACAATATCTCCCATCACCACCACCTCCATCAAGGAAAGCTACTGATGTACCCCAGGGTGTCTGTAAGGTGGGTAGAAGGGAGGTATTAACAGTGTCAAATGGCAGGCCCAATTGGGCAACTGAAGTCCACCTTTTAAAAATATTTTTTTTCCAATTATCAGTGCACCCTAGGGCAACCCTAAATGGAACATTCCTTCATTTTTCTCTAGTGTGATATTTTCCATTTCAAGGTATTTGGCTGTACTTCAGGCAAGGTTCAATTCTATACTCTGAAGGCCATCTGTTTGGGTTTAATTTTGGGCTTACTCCCAGGCAAAAGTACAGCTTTAATAAATTGCCCCATCCAACATAAAGAGATCAGGATCAGATCTTGGATAATAAATGAAAATCTCCCCCTTTCCTTCCATGTGGTCAAATCTGACTGGTTACTTGTGATCCTCAACACGGCTCAGATGAACCATCTTACCTCTCCTCTCTCTAAGTATCTGCGCATGGCTCTCTTCTTCCGAATCTTCTTGCCACGGCAGTAGAAGAAGCTGAGCAAAACAACCAAACAGGAGGCGAAGAAGAAAACCACAACCATCACTGCAATCATTGTTGGAGCTTTCCTAAGAGAAGCACAGTATGTTAGGAGCATGCATGCATCACAGTTCCACACAGGCATGGAAAAACCAGTAAGGAAGAAAGTGGAGGGGGGAGGGGGGGAGGGAAGGAGAGAAAGATTTCAGCAACATCCTGAACATCCTAGTCTCCATACGGAAACAAGTTTCTGGCCCTCAAGCTGCAACTGGTGAAATGAGAAGGCCATACAAGTTATACTTCAGTAGTGGGATGGCAGACATGTAAGAAGTTTCTTGAGGGAGGGATAGAGGCAGAACAAATGGGCAAATATAAGCAAATGGGCTGAATCTGAATCAAATTAAGACAAAAAACTCTGCCTCTCAGACCTTTTTTAAAGAATTACCACACAAAATGAAAGTGGAACATGATGAATGTTCTAAAATAGAATGCTCACAAATAAATCCCCCAGTGAACATGTTTATTGTTCTTTGAGAAGGTTGCTCACAAATCATTTTTCAGTACACCAGTGCCTGATGCTGGAGAGGCTTCAGCCAAGGAGGGAGGCATTTGGCAGATGGACAATCAAGAACGGTGACTGGCACCGGTGCTGCCCAGCATCAAAGAGCTTTTGCCATAGGTCTACAGTCCTTTGAGAGACAGAGATGGAGAAGCAAGGATGGTCCCAAATTTGAGAGTGGAAGGCAACCCAGATAGCAAAAGTTTGCGAGCAATTCCTCCTAAATGCCTCCGTCATGGTCCTAGCTTGGAGAGCAGAGCATCTCTGCGCCCCTTTTACTATCTGTTGCTCCCTAAGGCTTTGAGCCAAATTATGTTATAATCTCTTCAAACTCTCTCCCTCCATCACGGAAACTCATAACGAGGGGGTTTGGAGCACGGGGAGAAGGGGGAGTGGGGGGTTGGCTACTTGTTTTGTGTTTTGCCAAGTGAGCCCAATTCCAGGAGTTTACTTTCCAAGCAAGTACAAGAGCTCTTTGAAATGAAACTGAACTCTTAGGGGTGAGTTTATGAGTATAAGTACATAACTATTTGCTTGATGATGAGATGGGTGGCATATAAATTTAATAAATAAACAATGGGATTCCCTTTTTCTGGAAGGCTTTTCTGACTTCCCAGGCAAGCCTAATTTTCTGGTGTTCCTCCATCGAAGCATTCACCCGGTTTAACCCTACTTAGCTTTTCAAGGCCAGCCACGTGCTTCCTACCTAACTGGGCTCCAAGCCAACACGGAGCCCAAATTCCAGCAATCCTCTTCACAATTGCTCTAGTGACTTTCTCCCTTGCATTCTTGGCTCTGTTTCAAGAGCACAAGGGCAAAAAAGGGAAGGGAAATGAGCTTCCACCCCCACCCACCCCAAAAAAGGTGGGAAGTTCCTTTCCCTTCTTGCAGGAAAAAATAGGTGCGTGGGAAGGAGATCAAAATGGGATGATCCTCGCCCCCCGGCAACAGTCAGAACCTGCAGTAGCCGGCTCATGCCACCCATGAAGGCCTCCAGAAAAACCATGGGCACTGGTGGGAAAAAGAAGGTTGCAAATGGAGCAGAAGAAAATGGAAACGGGAGGAGAATAACAACAATAGATTTAGCAATAGCACTTAAGACTTATATACTGCTTCATAGTACCTTACAGCCCTCTCTAAGCAGTTTACAGAGTCAGCATGTTGCTCGCAACAATCTGGGTCCTCATTCTACGGACCTCAGAAGGATGGAAGGCTGAATCAATCTTGAGCCTGGTGAGATTCGAACTGCCAAATTGCAGGCAGCCGGCAGTTAGCAGAAGTAGCCTGCAGAACTACTGCACTCTAACCACTGTACCATCATGGCTCTTAAGAAGGACCCTTTTTAAGCTAATGCTGGGAGAGGTAGAAATTTTGCACTAGGGTGGATGTGTGATACCCAAATCAATATATTTGAATTTAATCCTCCCTCTACCTTTTTGAGATCTTGAGGTTCTTTCTGTATGAGGGAACTGAGAACTCGGGTTGTGAAAGTGTTTTCTGGTTTTTTAAACCAGAGTACCTGCCTTAGATGGAAGGACAATAAAAAGAACACTGGGGAGGGGGAAGCCAACAGAGAGAAGAGGCTGTGATTCTGGTCAGTTTTCTTGTCTTGGCCTGTGGATGCCTCCACAGTGTGCCAAAATGCTCCTTCAAGCCCCGCTGTCTTGGAAAGGGGTTAATCTTGGAGAGAATCCATGCCACAATTACAGTTTAATTTGGAAAAGGAACTTGAAAGAGGAGCCCTTTGGCTACAAAAAATTGTCAAAATAAGGAAGCCAAAGCATGTATTTTTTAACTAGGTTTTAACGGAAGGAGAGCTTAACTCTTCAAAAATGATTGTAATCTGTTATCTTCAACCAACTGTTCATACAGAATGCTTTGGGGCAGAATATAAAGTATTATATACCATAACCAGGAACTGCTGAAGTTATTTTCTAGCTGTTGGAGGAACATGTGCAAGGGGGGAGCAAAGTAATAATCTTGTAAACTGAGTGAACTCAGTGGCTTTATCGAGATTATGATAATTCCAATCCTATGGATCTAATCTGAATAAATCTGGATCCGATTCATTATCCCTATCACTATTGTCTTCAAGGAAGAGAGAGAGAAAAGTAGACTGTTTGTCTATAGTTGAGGTATGATTTATTCTTAAGAAGTGGTTCAAATCAGGAATCATCGCAGCCTACATAGTGGGTTGTCCACCCATCAAATGGCAAGACTGGAGATGCCAGAGATGGGACTTAGGACTTTCTGGGTACAAGGATATGCTGATGTAACATCTAGGTCAGAAGTGTCAAACTCATTTTCATTGAGGGCTGCATCAGGGTTGTGTTTGACCTCAGGGGGCCAGGGTAGGCGTGACCAGCTCAACATCACCCGTGTCAGGGGCACCTGTGTTGGCCTGAGCGCTCTACCAGTGAAAACAACTCCCGAGCTCAGTTTCCTGCTGCGACAGCCTCCTGCAGCCCTCTGCCAGTGAAAACAGAGATCACAAGGCCACACAGGGTCTTCCCAAGCTCTGTTTTCACTGGCAGAGGCACAGCAGGCCAGTCCTTCACTGTTTCCAGGGCAGCCCTGCAGGCCAGATCTAGGAACCCCACAGTCCACATCTGGCCCTGGGTCTTGAGTTTGACACCCCTGATCTAGGTGGTTCTAGGTTCTCCCAGCAATGCTTCGTAAGGGTAAAATTTCTTTCAAATATTAGTAGTAACCTGGGAACAAAGGAAGAATCACAAAGACTCTTTGCTACCCACCCACTCCTTTTATATCCTCTCCCCATCTCCCCCAGACTCCCCAACAGCTCCTGACAGGTACCTGGGGCCAGGCAGTTCCACAGTGAAGCAATTTACAACCTCTGGACCAAAACACCTGTAAGAAATGAAAGCACGGAGTTAGCTTGCTTACCTGAACCCAGATTCTCTGAATTAATCCAACTACCTGCATTCACACAACATCCCAAACCGTAAATTAACCACAGCGAATGGCAGAATGCCCTGAGCCACAAAACAGCCTAAGATGAGAACCCAACCAATATGTTTCTTACAGGGGAACTAGGTAGGTCAAGGGGATGCTCTCCTTTTTTGACAAACACAGAGTATTACCACTATGACTTTCCTGTAGATTTCCAATATCAGAAGCCTATTAATTTTGCCTTCAGGAGACGCTATAGGTCTTTATTTTTATTTTTTCCAGAGCTGGGCAAACAACCCAATTCTTGGTTCCCGAACCCTGTGAGTAACCCGACATTAATAATGCCTTGTGCTAAGAAATACTTCAGTCCACAATCTCCATCCTGATAGAGGTTTTGGTGTAAACATCAGGCATAATTTTTGGACTTTCCCCCATTTCTTGCTTTCACAACCACCTTTCCCAATGAAAAAGTCTGAAGAATTTAAACTCTTGCACCCTTGTATCCTTTTATCAATCAAATATGATTTAAAGACTTTCCCCCACTTCTTCGCAAGCCTGTAACATTATGATTGCTTGTTTTGTTCCTTGTGAAATGATTTGGACAGGCTTATTTTCACTCTAAGGACTGTGATCCCTTGATCTCACAAATACAATGCGGCACCTGAAGCTTCTCCGGGAAGAAACTGTACTGCCTATATTAACTCCAATGCAGTTTTTCATTGCCTTCCTTACCTGGCTGTGTTCCTGACATTTGAACAATACAACACTTGTGGCTGCAGTCATAACACTGCCAGCATGAATCTTAGCCAAGTAACTATCTGAAATCATGCTCTTAATGTTGCTTAAAAGATCTTAATTTCACACTTTGGACTGAAATCACTAAACCCTGGGCTCAGAGATGAGGAATAGAAAATGTAACATCTCGGAGTGAGCCCTCTTCCTAAAAGACACCTGAAAAAAATGGTTTTTTCCCAGGCACTTTGATAGATATGTCTGTAGCTGTTCCTGCAATTAAAGTCAATAAAAGGCTGTAACCAAGATTACCAACCAGAAGTGTGATATAATATAGTGTTTCTCAGCCTTGGCAGCTTGAAGATGTACTGTATGGACTTCAACTCCCAGAATTCCCCAACCAGCAAGGAAGACTGAATTCAATGAGGGATATTGCTGGAGAAGACATGATTGCAACAACCTGGATGCTGTTTTTAGCCCTTACCCCTCTGTGCAATTTTCATGGCACAGCCAGCACTCCTTGTTGGCATCAGGATACTTAAAGATTAGTCCCTTCACCCCAAGGACTCCTGATGGGCAGCTTTCAACACAATGTGGCCCATCCTTATAGTTTGCACAGGTCACACACTCATCAGCACCCTGAAAAGGAAAACAGGAAAACCTTTTGTATATGGGAAGGGGCAAATATATATATATATGACAGGAATATATACAGAGAGAGAAACAGATCAAAAGATAAGGTATCAGTCTTCCCATTTTCACCAAGTTGTCACCTACACAGAACAAGGTCTTTACTGCACTCCAAAAGTTACCTTCAAGAGAGAAACATCTCAGCTTTTCCTGTCTAGCCCTCAGGAAAGGCTACATTTGTTTAGGAAAAGCAGTTATAGGATAGGAAATAGCAGCAGCTGTTTTGCCCCGGGACATTTCCTGGAAATTATTGTAGATGTTTTAAACTGCCTCTTACCTCTGAAAATGCAGTGTGGTTAAATGAAGAAGTAATTTAAAATTAATCCCTTCCCCCCCGCCCCCCCCCCCCCCACACACACATCACTGCTTCCTTAAAAAAATGTGTTCTATCATACTTGTCCATTACAGGTGAGGCCTCCCTCGATCTTCTGGCATTGTGGATGGCACGGCAAGCAAACGTCCCCTTGAGCAAATTCTCGACTCTCCCTTCATGAAGCCAAGGGAAGAAAGGAAGTGTTAGAAAGACAGGTCTGAGGTGGAGCCAGGGAGGATGGAAGCAAGCGCCCTTGGCTGTTATTCTTACCCCTCATAGAAGTTGCAGGAGACAGTGCAGACCCCTTCACGGCTGTAGTTCCGGCAAGAGACACACTGGTCTGGGCCAGGCCCCCAACAACCATCACTGGAGCAAAGAGGATCACAGACTTTTCCCTCTTGAACTGGTAGGAAAAGAGAATGGATCACAAATGGGAGCCATCTGTCAAAGTGAACCCCTTGGTTCATTTTGAGCTGTCTGAAGGAAAACAGATCAAATCCAACCTTCTTAAGATTATATATTCTAATTAGAACCCTTTGAAAACATCAGTGGCTCCATTTGATACATAGCTCTTGCTGTCCCCAGACAACACTGCTATTATTGCAAGCAACCAGCATTCTCTCATTGGCCAAAATATCAAGGAAGATCTGTGAGTTGCACTGGCCAAGACAGCTGACGGCAAAAGAGAATGAGCATTTTTAGAGTATGGATACTATGGGGGTTGAAGTTTTGTTCATTACAATTGGACGTGTATGAAAGGCCTATGACTGGTCTCTCCATCAGCAAACAACCCACATGTCAAAAGCAGACTCACATCATTTGTTTTACAAGGACACCGAGAAGCAGAGGCACAATACAACTGGGAAATGTATGTTGTCTTGAATGGGTCTGATCAAATCACTTTCCCTTATGAGGTTAGGCTGAAGTTGCCATAATGAACCAGGCACATAAGCATAAAGCTGCCACAATTTAAAGATGAACCAAGCAGGTAAGCAGGAGGGGACAAAAATCTAGGAATCTTGACTAAAAGATCCATTTGGGAGGTGGATAAAAAGCAAAGTTATTAAGGAAATAAAAAAATGCTATTTGAAGCAGATAAGGAAGCTGGGCCTGGACACATGGGAGGAAACCCAATCCTAGATAATCAACAGAGCAAAATAAAAAGGGGTTCTGAAATTGGCCCCTCCTGGAGTCATTTCTGCATCCAGACTTAGCAGCTTCCATCCTCTAGCTCAGGGGTGACAAACTACCATCGTCACAGCGGCATCACGTGACATATCAAGACTTTCCCCCCTTTCACTAAACTGGGCGTCAGCGTGGCCAGTGCGTGACCCATCCGGCTCACAGGCCAGGAGTATGACAGCCGTGTTCTAGCTAGTGCCTGGCAGCCTAATTGAGAAGGATTGGGAAAGTGTGGATGAGTGAGTGAGTGAGTGAGTGACTGTGTGTGTGTGTGTATGTGAGAGAGAGAGAGAGAGAGAGAGAAAGAGAAAGAGAGAGAGAGAGAGAGAGAGAAGGGGGAGAGAGGGAGAAAAGAGAGGAGAAAAAAGAGGGAGAGAGAGAGAATATTGAATATTTACATTGTGACCACAAAAGTTTTTGCTATTTTAAATCCATTGGGTCTCTGTATGTTTGGAAGAACCTGAATGCCTCAATGGTTGAAAGTGATTTGTATGTGTATCCCTAATTATTTCGTCACTGTTCACAGGTTCTGTGTCTTGTCTTCTCTAGCCATACCCAACTGGAAAAACCCAGGTGGGAAGCAAAGGGGGCTTAACAAGATCCACCTTCCTCAACAGGCTGAGTGTGTCAGTAAGTGTAACATCCCTCCCAATGAGAGTGTTCCTTATCTAGGAAGTTGAAGAGGAAAGCACTCCCGGATGTCCTTGTATGGTTAGCCCTGGAGAGGAAAAGTGACCAGTTCATTTCTATGGGATAGATGTGTTTCATGCTGTCTCCAAATTCCAGGAATTGTAAACCAATGTATCTGAAAGGCGGCAGGTTGGGCCGAGTAGCTTTATGTAATGTGCATCTGTATGTTTGCTCACATTTGCAAAATAATTCCTAGTTCAGCACTTAGCCACATCCTACATTACTGCTACAGAAACAACTGGTGCTTCTGTTTGATTCTGTTCATTCATTCATGGCATCCCTCCATGGCCTGTCTCCCTTTTCTATTGTCCTCACTTACTGCATTTCCTAGGAGATTTGTTACTCCTGATGTTAAGATCTGAACGCCGGCGAGAGAGACGTGCCCAGTTGATGGTGTTATAATAGCAAAGTTGTCGATTCTCCGTGATGTAGACCTGCCCAGCACTGATCTCCTGAAGGGAGCGGAAGTCTAAGGAGGTGACATTCATGTTCTTCATGATCAGCAAAGAAAATCCACGGCTAGAAAAAGCAGACAGGTCTCCGTCTCAGAAAGGGAATGGAAGCAACTCATTTGAACTCACAAGTACCAGAGGCCCAACGAGTGTGGGAAATTGGCAGAGCAGAATCCAAACGCATGTCTTCCAATCCATCTTTGGATCACCTACAGAGGAGTCTCCATGTGCATGAAGGTGCAAGCCCTTTAGAGCAGGGGTGGGGAACCGTGGCCCTTTTATGACTTGTGGACTTCAACTCCCAGAATTCCTGAGCCAGCCATGCTCAAGAATTCTCCAATTCTGCGAGTTGGAATCCCAGAATTGTCATAAAAGGGCCATGGTTCCACACCCCTACTTTACTGGAATCCACTATGGCAAAACCTTTACCGCAGGAGCTGTTCAGCAGAAGAGGCAAATTGGAGGAATCGCCATCCTTAAAAGTTTCCTACAGCTCGATGCAAAGATAAAATATGCAGATCAAAGGGGGGAAATGCTTACTTATATAGGCTGCGCCCACCAATGGTGACCAGGTTGGAGAAGATGCTGAAATTCTGCATGTGCTTGGGCCACGACTGGATGTTCAAGTATCCTACAACAACAAGTGGGTAATTTCTTAATCCCTATACCTTGTTCCATCATTGTCACACATTCCCCCTCTCCAAGTGCCTCTAAATAAAGACTTTTTACCATGCAACCGACCTGCCTCACTCACAGAAATTTTCAAGCGGGCAACATCATCTTTTGCTATTTACAGACTTATCAATGCTTCTTTCATCCTGTTTCTCAGTTCAGAAAATCTCCAAAAGTAAGATGAAATGATTACCTTGCATATGTTGGTTAATGATATTAGGAATCAAATTTTGGGAGCTACCACTAGGCTATCTCCAAAATTCAAACCTCCGCATGTAAATTGTACTATTATTCTAATTTCCAGAATGGCCTTGCTTGACTTTCTGGTACACTTCAGACAGCTCCTATAAAGTCTAGGAAGCATGACTAATAGGTCGCCACCATAATAAATACTCTTTATTATGCAAGTTTTCTTTTCAAAAAGCTAACCTGTACTTTTCATGTGGTACACTGTGACCTGCATAGATCTGAGTCTATTTTATTACATCATGCAAAAATATCTTATTTTATTCATTTTATTTCATTTGAATAATGGCCAAAGTCCACAAGAGAACTTAGCCGCTAAGAAATTTAGGCTTTTCTTCTTCCAAACCCCAAAGTATAATTTTCCTCAAAATTCCAAACTCTCTTTTCCAAATAACTTTCTGTAACTTTCCAGTTTTATTTCAAGCTTGTTTCACGCCAGGAAGAGGATACCAGAAAACAAATAAAATATTGAAGAGCACTGTCCTTGCCACCTGCACGATATACAACATGCTACTGTACATATTCTGCATTCCTCTAAAGTTTTCTGCACCCCAGCTCACCAGTGATCTCTCGCACTGTCCTGAAGACATTGAGTTTTTCTGGATCCAGGGCATTTATGTTGTGCCAAGGGTCACTGTAGAAAGAATGGAGTTGGTCAGAACCAGTGATATGGAATCTGATAGCCGCTTTCTTCAAGAATTTAATTATAGTAAAATATATATTATAGGATAACTTATTCCAACTTGGTTTATTTCCTTAATTCCAAATATGTGATTATTTACATGACTATGAATATAACATCCATAAGTATATATTAGTTAGTATGTGTTAGTATCATAAGTTAGTGTCTACAAGAATGCAGAGAAGCAACTAAGAGGGTTAGTGGACTGGAAGCTAAAACATATGATGAACAATTGCAGGAACTGGATACTGTATATTTAGTTATTTAGTCAAACAAAGAGAAGGATTAGGGATGACATGATAGCAGTCTTCCGAAATTTGAGGGGCTGCCACAGAGAAGAAGAGGACAACCTGTTCTTCAAAGCACTGAAGGCAGAACAAATACTGGGTAGAAACTAACCAAGGAAAGTTCCAACTTACAACTGAGGAGAAATTTCCTGACAGTGAGAGCAATCAACCAGGGGAATGGATTGCCTCCAGAAGTTGTGGGGGCTTTATTACTGGAGGTTTTTAAAAAGAGACTGGACAGCCATTTGTCTCAAATGGTATAGGACAGTGGTGGCTAACCTTTTTGGGCTCCTGTGCCAAAACTCACATGTCAGCACCCAGAATGCATTGTGTGCGCCCCTCCCCACGCCCCCTACGCATGCGTGTGCAACCCCCCCCAACCCCGTTACCTGCACTGTGCCTCACAGCTGATTTGAGGTCTTTTTCGGCCTCCCAGAGGCTTGGAAAAAGCCTCTGTAAGGCTTTCCAAGCCAAATTATAGACCCGTTTCGTCACTTCTCGTATTACAGGAAGTGATGAAACGGGCCTATAGTTCGGCCTGACAAGCCTTGCAGAGGCTTTTTCCAAGCCTCTGGGAGGCTGAAAAGGGCCTCAAACCACCCCACCCCCCAAAAATCAGCTGTGAGGTGCACGCAGTGAGGTAAGTTTGCCTGTGGTTCGCGTGCCAACACAAATGGCTGGCTCTGTGTGCCACTTGTGGCACGCATGCCATAGGTTAGCCATCACGGGTATAGGGTTTTCTGCTTGAGCAGGTGGTTGGACTAGAAGATCTCCAAGGTCCTGTCCAATTCTGTTATTCTATATTCTGTAAGTTCAAGGATAGCCTCATGCTTGTTACCAGGAAATTACCAAATTCTTTAAAACAGGGCTCTCCAACCTTGACAACTTTAAGATTTGTGGTCTTCAACTCCCAGAATTCCAGCAAAGCTGGCTGGGGAATTCTGGGGGTTGAAGTCCACAAGTCTTAAAGTTGCCAAGATTGGAGACCCCCGCTTTAACAAAATGGTAGCAACTGGAGGGCAAAGAAGAAGGATAAAAGAGGTGCTATATCTATTTCCATTCCAATTTGCTAGGATCCAGAGATATGAGAACACAGCCCAAGCTAAGACTGACCCATTCAACAAATATAGCTATGTTTAGAATAGCAGAAAGACAGGATATCTTTGAAATAACACAGAGAAACATGTACTTACCCTTCTAGACCAGTGATAAGAAAATCCAAATTGCCCAAGATTTTGGTGCAGTTTATAAATCGGTGAATGTTGCTGGAATCCACTGTCTGATATTTACTTCCAATACCAGTCCCTTCACAAGCTGTAAAAACATAAAGTATGAGCTGAACAATCAGTTGGTAAATGGCTCCAATTTAGCCTTCCACTTCATGGAAGTTAATGGAAAAGGAAAGGTTATGGGGAACTGGGTTCTCTCCCAGGTTTTGGATTGGCTGCAAGTTAAGGTCATACAATTTTACCCTTTGCAATCATCAGCACGCATATTTCCAAGGATAAAGGTATAAAGTCTCAGAGTGTCTGTTTTTGCATTCCCAGTATATCCACTTGACTTTTTCTAAAATAATATGCAGCTAATTTGTCATGCACAAGCCCTGTAGGTCCAAGGGCATCTGGTGTGCTGTCCAGCCAGTGTATGGGAATTGGATAGTTAGGTAGCAATTGTGAGCTGTCCCCTTAAGGGAACGCATCATGGTAAATGTAGTTAAGGTATCCTAGGAAATGTAGTCCATATCACATGACCATATCTGTAATCCTGATTGGTCACTAAATTGACCCTCGATGGGTTGGGGGAGTTTTCCTCACTTTTGCCTGAACTTCCTAACTCATGGCAGTTGCTTTCTATCGCTACGGGATGGGTTAGGAGATAACCATCTTTTACTACAGGGCAGATATGCAAAGGATTGGTCATTAAAGAAGAACTTCACCACAAATGTGAGTTATGAGGATACCTGATGAACCAATAAATGTACTTTGTTATGGACGTCTTGTTGAGTTTATCTATCTGCATCTGCACAGCTTAAAATCCACTACTGTGCAGAATACAGAAAATCTGGAGTAATTGAATAGGATAGTTGATATATGATAGATAGCGTCGCTGGTAAAATCAGTTGCTAGAGTGGCCATTGTAGATGGCTTTCATTCCCCCCACTCCCAGCTTTTCCCTTAATTTAGTACAATAGAATAAAGCAAAGTGTTTCATTCATTGCTGGATGCTAAAGCTGACATGCAAACATTGAAATAATTCTTAACAGCTCCACCCCATACAGAATAGATGATGCAAAAACTATAAAACATACATATATACATATTCAGTTTTTCAAATCTCGGGTTCATTGAGATTGTGGTTTTTCTTTTTACTTCTTCACCCAGGAAATAATTTGAATTGGGAGAATCAAAAATTAAAGTTACACCAACTGGAAGATTACATCTGAGGTCAATTAGTAATTTAGAAACTTGGTTTCACCTGGACCAATAAGAAGCAGGATGAAGCCTGCTCAATTTCAAAGTAATAGATGCTGGGATGATTTTAAAAAAATAAGCACCTTTGATGTTTTAGTTACTTACAAATTTAAGTTTCATTTGAGGATTGTGGGCATAAAGATTTTTAAAAGGACTTAAAAGTTAAGACCTTTTGGAGATGATTTGGGGTTGTTTTTGGAAAATCTTTCAAAGGGAATTGAATTATTAATGGTTAAATTAAAATAATTTTGTGCTTTAACATCATTAAGATTAACAAACTACTTGCATAAGACTTTCAAGTCTGTATCCATTACTAATCCCATATAAAGTCTGTGAGTCAGAAGTACTTGTTCCCATTCGTACCTTTTGGGCAGAGTCCCTCACAAAGCTGACAGATCTTCTGGCCATTTTTTTCAACTTCCATTTTGTCATTGGGACAGGTTCTGACACAGGAGGTCCGATCCACCACAAAATTATCTGTGAGAAGGTAAAACAAAGGGTGGGAAAAATGAAGTTGTAAGAAATTGGTAGTTGGAGAGTAAAATATTATGAATCAAAGAAAGGCGGGGAGATAGAACATCTTTGAAAAGGGAACGTAAACAGTCATGGAGCAGAAGGAAAAGCCCTCAGGAATTCATCTATCTCTGTTTCATGTGAGTACAACACTGTATTCATGACCTAGGACTTACGTGGACAATTTTTGACACACACACCACCATATTGATATTTAGCATCAGGATTGGGCTCCAGCTGAAAAGTAAGTCTGTTGTAGATCATTGGCTGAGGACAGAGGGTTTCACAGGCTCCACTGTCATTGAAGTGACGGCAGGCCTGCAATGAGGGAAAGAAAGTCATCAGATGATGAAATAGACTTTGTCCCCATCATCCCAGGTTGAGAGACTTTTCTCCTAATGAAAGACAGAGTCCCCCCCACCCTTCCTGATAGCACACAACAGAACCTGAACAAATTAAAAGAAGACAAGATTTGGGATGAATATTGCACAACAAGGGCTTCAAATTCTCCCTGGCACCTCACAAAAGATTGTAGATCAAGGGAAACCAGAAACAGAAAATGTGGGAAGGAATGCAGGAAAGGCGGAAAAGCAGGATACACTGGTTCTGGGATGGAAACAGAAGGCCTTAAGGTTCAAGAACTAGCGATGGCCACACTGTACAAAGATATCAATGCAAAGATTTAGCAAGAAGGAGGATGGTGTTGGCTGGCAGACCCTGGCAATAAAGCTCCAGAAATCAAAAGAAAGTGGTAGGATTGAGGCAGTATGATGTTTTGGAAGTATTAGCAAAAGAGTAGAAATGAGGAAACTAGGCCTAATGGAGAAAAAGAGGCAGAGTTGTTAGATGAGGTAATGGCAATTGTGAAGGTCAACCCGGAAACCAGTCCTGGTTACGTACAAAGCATTTTGTCTTGAGCGGCCCAGTGCAGCCTCCTGCACACTCATCATGACAGCATTCATTGGGGTTGGGGCCAAAGCAGCGTCCATTGCACTGAGGAGCACAGATGGTCTTCGTCACTAAAGTAGAGATTGAAAAAAAAATGCTGGTCAATGTCCTGGTAGCCCTCTAAAGGTCACTCATTCTCTCCAATCTAAGGATTTGGGTATCTACATGAACATATTTAATATTGATTATTTAACACAGAACCTTTCTAAATAATAATGACAAGTGCAAACCTTTGGGATGTTATCATATATAATATTATATATTAAGAACTGTGGTGGCACAGTAGTTAGAATGCAGTACTGCAGGCTACTTCTGCTGGCTGCTGACTGCCAGCTGTTCGGCAATTTGAATCTCACCAGGCTCAAGATTCTCAGCCTTCCATCCTTCCAAGGTGGATAAAATGAGGACCCAGATTGTTGAGGGCAATATGCTGACTCTGTAAACTGCTTGGAGAGGGCTATAAAGCACCGTGAAGCAGTATATAAGTGTAAGTACTACTGCTATTGCTATCATTGATATGATGCTCACACCAAACTTTAGCAAACTCTAATCCCAAAGTTTAAACAACACTGAATTGCCATGAATGGGAATGGGAAGATAGCTTTGCTGTATTTCCAGCTCGTGTTTTTTTTTTAAAGGATGATTTTGCATTCATTTTCCACAAGTGAAAAATATATATATATCTTAAAGGAAGTAAACCATTCTGAAACAGAAGAACAGGTTTTGTTTCTATCTGTACATGGGCAACTTTGCTGATGAAAAATCAACTTTCTAATGCAATCAATGCTTGACTACAACTCCCAGAATCCCCACATAGCATTACAACTGCCCATGTTGGTTGGGAAGTCTCAGACCTAAAAACTATTTTAATAGCATGTTTAGACAATCATTTTGTTTTGTTGCCCAAATATTCGGATTCTACCTTTAATTGATCTGACCTAGTTTATTTAAAGCCTCTTGAAACCTTTCTGCACCGCAGTAGCTCAGCCATAAAAAGAGGGTTGAAGTTGTCAAATATTTGGTCCTTTTTCCATTATCTTTAACCGTGGTTCAAGTGAGGCAAAGCTTGTATAGTTTTTTTCCCCCCATAAGGGACCAGAGCTGAGCAAAGCATTTGAAAGTGATTTAGCAGAAGTGTAGCATCTTTCTGAAGTTTTAAAGCAGTCCCATCCTCTGCAAAGATGATGTGGCTGCTTTGAATGTCATCTTCAGATGCTTTAAGATGCTTGTCTCAAGAAGAGACATGCCACTTATTTGTTAATCAAATGTGTATAGCCACCCATCTCACTGACTGTGGGCAGTGACCAACACTTATGCTAAGACGCTTCATGAAACACAGCTTTCAAATTCCTTGCACAGCCTATAAGCAATTGCCTTGAAATGAAATTTTCCTGTTTATAGCAACCATGGGGCTAGGCCTCAATGTATCATGATTTCAAGCTTCTGGCTTCAACGCCATTTGTTCATTGGAGAGTTCATGACAAAACTATACTGCTACTAGAAAAAAGGTCTGAAAAGGCTAAACAATTCTGACTCCCAACTTTGAATTAAAGATAATAGTGGAATTATGTCCGATATTTTGCAATGCTTACATTTTTGACAGTCTTCAGGACCAGGCCCCCAACAGCGGCCATTGCAGTTTTCATGGCATGGAGTACCTGCATGAGAGGGGTGCACAGCATCACAACAGAGATAATGAGCTTGATGGATTAAAAGCAGGGTTACCATGCAAGATGAATGCTAGCCTTCTACCAACAGACTGTTCTTACACTTCTGGAACTTTAGATTGAACCCTTTAAAATCTACAAAAAGTTCATTTAAAAATTTTAAAACATGATCAAGGGGCCACGCAACCCGTTGTGAGCGCAAATTGGTTGCCACACACTTAGCTTATAATCATGTGACTACATAGGTGCTGGGATGGTTGGAACTCTGAGGACCAGTCATAACTTCTCTTCATTCAGTGCCATCCTCCTTTCTCATCTTAATTTCCTCACAACAATAAACCTTTGAGGTGGGTTGGGCTGAGAGTGAGTGACTGGCCCAAAGTCACTTAAATAAAACTTATATCCTTAAATAAAACAGCCCTTTCTTCTTTAATTTCTGATTCTCCAACCTTCTGTTCCTCTTCTTCTACTATGCTTTTTTTTAGCTAATGAACCAGACTTTGCTGACCAAATGGTCATAAGTTCAGGATTTACCGATATTGGTACTGCAACTCTCAAAATTTCTAACCAACAATGTGGCCATTAATCTAAATTTAGGAGTTGCCATTCTAAAATATCTGGAAAACACCACAGGTTGGGTAAAACTAAGCCATTGCTCTTTAAAGTCTCCTGTATAAATGAAAGGCCAGTGAGAGGTGATGAGGACAGGTGGCCAATACTCACATTTCTCCCCATTGTTATGGACCACTGCCTGGAATTTTGGATCTCGGATGATGTCTTCCCAATCAATTGTGTTCACGTGACAAAGCTGTTTGTTCTTTCCAATATAGACGCCCCCAGAGAGGATTTCTGAAAAATAAAAATAAAAATCATTTCCTCTTATACATTTAGAGCTGTGCTAAGCTGTAAAAGATACCATTTCATATCTGCTATTCTCCTGTCTTCCTGTTGAAAATTATTGACAAGCAAAAGCTGTGTTGGATATCTCCGCCAAGACTGTTTCAGAAGGCAGAACAAGAAAGGGAAATGGGATCTTGAACATCCAATTCCCATAATTTGATAAGTGGGAAACAAACTTCTATGTAAACAAAAAGGATTCCTGATTTATTCTGGGTCACACAGAAGCTCTGGGCATCTACCTTCTATATCCAAGGGCTCTTTTCAGACATTGTTATGAATGTGTGTAGATCTTCCTGTCTGTTCAGTTATTATGTGCCATCAAATCAGTGTCAGCTCTTGGTGACCACATAGATCTCCTCCATGTGAAGTAATACAGTATCAAAAAGGGAGTAGAATGAACTCCCAAAGAGGCAGTCTGAATTCTTCTTACAAACATACATGCTTATTTATCCCAGCTCCACTCCAAAATGCTGTTACAGATCGTTGGCTTTGTATCCCATTCCCCTTCTGGTATTTTTTCAAGCTGACTGTATATACACACTAAATAATATATTTGGTTAATATATATATACACACTAAATTAACATATTTGGTTCTTGGAGCCAAATATTAATTAACTGAATCCAGGTCAAATGTATCACTGCCCTCACCAGCAGTTTGGAGTGGGTACTACCTCTATATGTTTGAAGCCCCAGGGATTTCTTCAGGTAGTTAAAGGAATATGGATATTTGTTGTCTAAAAATAGCTGCAGGAGGAAGTTTCTGAAGTAGGCAGGCCTAATATAAATATTTCATATTTATTGATGTATTTTAGTTCCTGCCTGGCACAGGAGTTCCCTCAGGTACTTCTGACTAACTACTTTATTTAAAATGTAAAAATCTAGATTGCCAAGTCATCACACCAAATGGAGTCCACAGTTAAATTTCATATCTTTGGACTGCTTACCCCAAATGACCGATTACTTTAGATTACCAAAGAAATAACTTCATTATTGTATAAAGATGTGTGAAGCTATTCTGGATCTTTTTGAATGCTTTAAGTTTTCAGACAGATTATCAAAGTGCCCAAATTATTTGGTAAAGCTGGTTATAGTTTGATCATTTTAAAATGCATATGCAATGGAGAAAGATAAGTATCATCAAAGGCCTGCAATGTTTACACTTAATTGACACTGCCAGTATGATTTTTTCTTCTAAAAGGTAATTTACAAAAGGAACCAGTAACAACTTTCTATATGCTACTCAATCACACCCCCTACTTGGAGGCATAAGTAAAACACACAGACCACTTCCCCGAGTTGTTGAAATTTGCAGACTAAGAATTCTAGCTGTTCTCAACAAGCTTTTGGATCTCCATTTGAGAGAAGCTATAGATGTCTCTCTGGCTAAGGCTGTTCTGTCATTCAAGAGAAAGATCAAGTGATGGGAATACAGATAGACAGGTGTTGTCTCCTGGTGCCATGGTAGCTCAACAATAACAACATCAATATCAACCAAACAAGTTGGTTGGGCAGGAATCTACAACATGCACAGACCTGTTGCAGTATTCTGCCTTACTCTAACTCTGTTGACACGATCCCAAGAGCTCTTGTGCAGCTAGCCATCTGGGTTTAACTAATAAGAGATGTTAAATCAGACTTGGAAAACTCTTTGCTAATGCATACAGGTAACCAATCAAAACCGAGATTTCACAGAAGCAGAGAAGCAATTGCTGTGATCCACAGAAGGCAAAAGTTGAATTAGATTAAAAACTCAGCTACCAGGACAAATTTATTAACACTCAAAAACCCTTATGGGACTTTTAAGCACATCTTAAATCACCTGATCCACATTTGCTTTGATTCTGGTAATTACCTGTTTGGGGAAAAAAGACGAAAAGTTGGATTCATTTTCCTAATTTCTGAAATAGTTTATCTGCAACAGGGTTTACTACCTGAGTATCTGCTAAGGCAATTAAACCTACTCTCAGGATGGTTTTCATATTCTCTATATGCAGGCTTAAAATTTAAAGAGGATACCAGAAGTAGAAGGTTGAGCGAGATAGCCCTGTGGTTTGTTTTAATCTAGTATCAAGAACAATACTGACCCGAAAACTCTCAGAAGATAAGCTATACTTTTGACAGTTGTGGAAAATATAAATTAATCTTTGGGATTTTATCTGTACAAAGCATTTTTAATATAGGGAGTGATCTGGTATTTCAACCAGCCAAACTATTTAGCATTTGTTCCAGAATCTGGATAATGCAATCCTGTCTAGTCACTAAGAAAGTGAATCATAGAACAAATATCACATTGCAGCAATGATTTCTAGAGAAAAAAAATGTGCTGAAAGAATCCTCCTGAAATGTTTTTCAAATACAGGGAGTCCTCAACTAACGACTCTTAGTTTAACAATATTTTGAAATTACAACAGCCTTGGAAAAAGCCATTTACGACCCATCCTCAAAGTTATGACTGTCACACCACTCCCGCAATTACGTGATCACAATCCAGATGTTTGGCAATCGGCTCACACTTATGACAGTTACAGCACAGGGCCACATGATTGAGAACTCCAAACTTCCCAGCCAGCTCCTGATGAGCAAAGTCAACTGGGAAAACTGGATTTGCTTAAGTGTTTCACTTAAAAGACCCCACAAATTGCTTAATGGATGTGGTAAAAATGGTCACAACATTGAGTCTGGTCACATAGGACTCGATTAATGGCTGCATCGTTTAGTGACTGAAATTCCAGTCCCAAATGTGACCATAAGACAGGGACCACCTATACATACTTTGCAATCCATGAAATTGGACTTAAGTGTTCTTTTCCCATTTGATTTGTCCACAAGGAAACCAAAAGTACCTTCTTGTATCAGGCATATTTGGTTCCAGACATTGAAAATACTCAGTTCACCAACTCTTCTACTGTAGTTCACAAAAGGCCAGAGAACTGATTTGCAAACTTATGTGCTGCCTCCTTGAAATAACGTTTTACTTTTCTAAAATTTAACTTCCACAAATCCACACAACCTCAGACTCAGGAGTCTACCAAATCCCGAGAACTGCAAAATCCCCTCCGACAAAAACCCCTATCGATGACTAACCTTTCTTCTTCAAATGTGGCTATAACGGTAGCCCTTGACTTACAACAGTTCATTTAGTGACTGTTGAAAGTTACAACAGCACTGAAAAAATGACTTATGACTGTTTTTCATATTTATGACCGTTGCTGCATCCTCATGGTCACGTGATCAAAATTCAGGCGTTTGGCAGCGGACTCATATTTATGATGGTTGCCGTGTCCTGGGGCGGGGTTATGTGATCCCATTTTGTGATCTTCTGACAGGCAAAGTCAATGGGGAAGCCGGATTCACTTAACAACCATGTTACTATCTTAACAACCGCAGGGATTCGTTTAACAACTGTGGCAAGGAAGGTCGTAAAATGGGGCAAAACTCACTTAACCACTGTCTCACAACAGAAATGTTGTCATAAGTCAAGGACTATCTGTATACTATAATCCTGAGCAGGAATCAGAAAAGGTTCCTCTTAGGACCCTAAAACTTGCTTAATCAGATGGCGTTAAGCATTTATTGTGTAAAATAGTTGATGATTCCTTATGTTACAAATTAATCCCAAGATCTTTCACAATATCCAATTTGTCATACTTAAGACAAGCAGGGGCCGTGTATCTCTCTGCTAATTAGCTGGTATAGATCTTCCTGAAAGTTTTGTCCACAAATTATAGAGCCAAATCAAGCTATTTCACCAGTGAATTTCAGGTACTCTGTTGGATATGGATTTGACCATTATATGCTTGTTGTTTATTAGCCTTTATCTGTTGTGCAACTTCAGGCCTGGCCAGCTAGAAGACAGCATAATATGACTAGCTGATAAACCTATTTCTTGGAATTGAGAAAAATGCAATTAAGGTAAACCCTGAAAGCTTATTGTCTAAGTAGATCCATAAATTCTTTTGGTGGATTGGACTTTCACTCATAAATCTCCAAATGGGAGACCTGATTTCAGATAGAATCAGAGGTACAGAGAAATAGCCATAGGAGGAACAGGGGTATAGCCTACCACTTAAAATACCTGACTTGCTGGCTGATAAGAGATACAAAGGCTTTCTTTCTTTCTTTAGTATGAAATCATCCTTTTATTATGGCAGCTAATAAAAATGTAACAAATACAAGTCATCCTCGACTTACAACTACGATTGAGCCCAAAATTTCTGCTGCTAAGCAAGACAGATCTTAACTGAATGTTGCCCGATACGATTACCTTTCTTGCCTCTGTTGTTAAGTGAATTACTGCAGTTGTTAAAATGACTAAGGCAGCTGTTAAGTGGAACTGGCTCCCCCCATTGACTTTGCTTGTCAGGAGGTCACAAAAGGTGATCACATGACCCCAGGACACTGCAAGTCATAAATATGAGTCAATGTGAAAAACCGCCACGTCACCTTTTTTTCAGCATTGCTGTAACTTCAAACGGTTACTAAATGAATGGTTGTAAGCTGAGGACTGAGTATAGAATCCTTAAATTTGAAAAGGTCAAAATCCAGGGAGATCAGAAGTAGAAGGAATTGTGTAAATATGTACCTGTGCATATATTTTTACTTTTTTCCCCAGTGATATTTATAGACTGCAAAATTCAATTTGAATTCCTTTGGTGCAGGTAACTTATCCTGCCCAGAGGACAGGTGCTACCAGTTAAGCATGAGAGAACATCCCAATAAACATCCATAAAACTATCTTAGAGTTAGGATCTGTAGGTAGAACATTTAACTTTATTTCCTAATTCTGACAGTAACGAGGCTGCTTTAAAGAAAACCCACAAGTTAATTACAGAGGGATCCATGCCATGCCATGCTTAATACTCCCACCAGTGTCACAAACTACTCTGTGTTGCAACAAAGCCACACCAATGGAAGCTGGCCCAGAAAAACAACAACAGAATAAACCCTTTCACCTGATCGTATATATAGTAACTTACTGACGAATTTGTCTTTCGCTTTCTATTCTCCTGACTTTTCTCTCAGAGTTTGATTTTAAATTTCCAAATCTTAGAGTTGGAACTGAAAAAGCTGTTAGAATTGGCAGGGTGACAAAATAAGTTTCCTAAGTTTTATCCACCAAAAAAGGCTAAATTATGCTCATTGCTTATGCACTTAAATATCTATTTGTCATTGTGTGTTTTTTTTATTTTTACATGTGGGTTACAGGAAAATAATTTGAACTATGGTTGAATTAAGGAACTCCTCATTAGAGCCCTAATCTAGTGTTCAACATGGAAGCAGATACCAATGAACTTATCAATTATATTTCAAGACGCACAACTTACCAGAGAGCTAAAAAAATGGTTTGGAGAATGGTTGGGAAGATGGCAATTTCAGTAATTTGCAGGGCAAGTATTACAGGTAGTCCTCGACTTACAACAATTCATTTAGTGACTGCTCAAAGTTACAATGGCACTGAAAAAAGTAACATGATCATTTTTCAGTTACCTTTGAAGCCTCCCCATGATCACGTGATCAAAATTCAGATGCTTGGCAACTGGTTCATATTTATGGCTTGCTGTATCCCAGGGGTCACGTAACCTCCTTTTGCGACCTTCTGACAAGGGAAGGCCAGGTTCACTTAACAACCATATTACTAATTTAACAATTGCTGAGATTCACTTAACAACTGTGGCAAGGAAGGTCATAAAATGGGGCAAAACTCACTAAACAAATGTCTCGCTTAACAACAGAAATTTTGGGCTCGGTTGTGGTCGTAATTTGAGGACTACCCGTATTCAAAAACTAACAAGTGGAAGTTGTCTCTCAAAGGCATCTGGTCCAAGAGTTTCAGGATAATCGAGTTGTTGTTCAATGTACAACTCAGACACTTGAAGATCCGCTTTACAGGTAGTCCTCAACTTACAACCATTAAGTGAATTTTGTCCCATTTTATGACCTTTCTTGCCAGTTTTTAAATGAATCACTGAAGTTGCTAATTTAGTAACATGGTTGCTAAAGTGAATTTGGCTTGCCTCATTGACTCTGCTTGTCAGAAAGTCACAAAATCACCTCATTTCGTTGCACCCGCTTGCGAGTGTAATGACAAATAAATTCTTATGTCTTAAAAGCTGATCACGTGACACCAGGACATTGCAACCGTCATAAATAAGGGTCAGTTGCCAAGCACCTGAATTTTGATCATGTGACCGTGGGGATACTGCAACGGTTGTAAGTGTGAAAAACAATCATAAGTCACTTTTTTCAGTGCCATTGTAACTTTGAACAGTCACTAAATAAACTGTTTTAAATTGAGGCCTACCTGTAGTTAATGAAGCAGTGACTTAAATTTGCTACTGAAAAAACCAGAGAATAATAAATATTAAAATTTAAAAAAATCAGTGTGGAATGCGTTGCTCTTCAGATGTTGCTGAATGACAATTCTGTTGTTCTAGACCAGTGATGGCTAAATTTTTCAGCACTGAGTGCCCCACCCTACACATGCACAGCAGAGATCCGAAGACCAGTTGGCCGATGAGAGGTACATGCACAAATGCTTGGCAGAGCTGAGCTGGACAATGGCTCGTGTGCCCACAGAGAGGGCTCTCCGTGCCACCTCTGGCACGCGTGCCATAGGTCTGCCATCACAGTTCTAGACCATTGTCTACTCTGGATTGATGGTTGTCTACCCATCAATGAGGCCAGTAAGTCCCACTGCTTTGGTTTGAGAATGGGTTGTATGTAAGCTATTTCTAACTTTAGCAAGTTTCACTAAAGTCCAACTGCATGTATTATTATTGTGTTTTTTAAAGCTTCACAATTCAAAATCCTTTCTGAATATCTGGAATAGGCCAAAGGGATATTTACTGGTAGACAACTGACTGAGTTAAAAGAAGTCAATAATTTCTGACATCCAATTATTTACCATAGTAACAGCAGAATGAGCCCATCCCAAAATGATATTGCTGAAATTACAAAAGTTGCAGTAGGGGAAACAGGTAAGTCCAGAGTAGTTTTTTTCTATGGTAGGAGAATTCAGTGTAGCTTCCTTTCCTGAAGGACGGATTTTATGCTGAAGGATTTTAATTAAAAAGAAAGCCAAACAGATCCCATAGATCTGAACTCTCTCTTCCTATATTGATGCAATGTTTGGATCCAATTACACTTCCTTTCAGCCTTAATTCTTATTTTCAGATAAGTGCAATCATAATGAAGATAGTAAGAAAAGCTAAGGTGACAACCCAAAAATCAAAAGTAAGAACTTGCCTGTACACACATTTATATTGGGTAACTGTTTTGGTTTCTGTCAACAATCCCTATGACCTACAGTGAGATCTCTAAGATCTAATCTTTCATTATAAAAGTAAAACCTATTCCAGAATTCTCTGGGGAAGGGAACAATATTTTTGAATATTTTCACAGCAATAAACATGTCATGCTTTTATACTGCCCTTCCTGAGAAGTAGCCCAAGTTAGTGAAAGGTGAGGACAAGGGAGATATTATTCCCTAGTTCTACCTTAAGAGCCTTTTGTGCCTTTTGAATTCTTTTGGAATAAACTTCACAAATTACAATAAGGAGGAAGCTATTTTTGAAGTTGGTTCCTTAAATTTGCATTTGCTGTAACAACCTGGTCTTCGAGCTCTTGTTTTTAGCTTTCTTTTCCAAGTTTCAACCCTCCTGAAGAAGTCCACAGGATAGTTTCAGGTGACCGATTCATAACAATTCAGTTCAAAAGAAAACAAACTCCCAACCATCACTGAACTTCATTACTGAATAGAAAACTGAAGTTGTATTTGTTGTTCCATGATTAACATTATCCACTAGACCCAAACATTTCACTTCTCATCCAAGAAGCTTTTTCAGTTCAGAACAAAACATCTTCAAGGAAAAACAAAGTCCAGTTGCCTTTTGAAAAAGTACCTTTGGGATAACCATGACCTGGATGACTGAGAAGCTTCATAAACATTATCCACTAACTGCTTTATCATCTTCTCAGTACAAGTCAAATTACTGCAATACAGGGCTTCTGTTATCTGCTTAATAGATCTTCTCACCATGTACTTTTAAAATCTCACGTGTCTCATTGTACACATCTTTTATGGTCACAAGGCTAACAACTATTCACCTGTTGATTATTTCATCAAGGTATCAAAGGGAAAAGGAAATTTAATCCTGACAAATTGTAGGCTTCTCTTTAGCAACCAACAACTCCCTTTATCTAAATGGCTCCTGGCTATATGCCTTTGGCAAGACCAGGGATATTGTCCCAATGTTACTTTTCATTCTAATATATGATGGTGTAGAGTAGAGGGAACCTTCTTTTTCTCTTCCTCTCATAATATTAGCATTCAAAGTTACACAATTAGAGTGACCTCCGCAAACAATCCAGTATTAATGGATTGAACATGCTGTTATCAGAGCATATGGTGGCTTTCTATTTAAAAGGTAATCAGACAAATTCATTGAAAGTGGGTAGGCTAGATCTCCAGGTTCAGAAGTGGGCTGCTGAATTTAAGTTGCTATGAACAAATATGCTAGAAGGCTATTTACGGCAGCTCTTGGCTGCCATCATGGGAAGTAGGAAGGCGGATCAATGCAGTGAGCCCTTTTCTTCTTCATCTTTTTCTTCGTCCTTCTTACTGACCTTGTTTACCAAGTAAAAGGTATTCCTCATAACACTAACTTTATTAAGATGTATCATGTGTTCAGAATATTGGAGAGCACCCGCCCTTCGCAAAGTTCCTTCTTTCTGGTATGAGAATCCTTTTCATCAAGAAAGGAAGTAGTTCATTCTGGGCTCCTTTCTCAAGCATCTCTCAAGACAAGCCTCTCAGATGTCATCCCAACATCAGTCATTACTTAAAGGAGCCAGTGGCTACACTTATTCTAGTACTCTGGGCCTGTGCCCAGAAGCTGCCCTTAGGCAGGAACAGTAGCAGTGTTACTTCGGGACACTCTGTGGGTGGAACAGTGGCATCAATTTGCATAAATATGCCTGATTGGGGCTGCAAAAATCCAAAGGGCCACTAGATAGTAGCAAAGAGCCAGAGTTTTTTGTAAGTCTTTGCTGCCATCTGGAGGTCACCCCTCTTAATTGTTGCCTGTTGCCACTTCGCTCTCAACGATCGTGTCATTCTAGTCTAGACAAATACTTGGTCTTGTGTGCTTGAGGACCACAAAACAACTGTCTTCCCTATATTCTGTATATACACCATTCATTTTCAACAACCCTGATTATAATGCTATAAGCTATTCAAACAACCTGGGGGTTGTTTCACATGTGAAGGAATATAATCTGGTTTGCCTGGACCTCAAACTCCACCATCATCTTACCTGTCAGTTGATTGAAGCCCATCTGGTGTAGAGCGTGTGTAACATTTTTTTCATAGTTGAGGACCACATAGAGGGCATACTTGTCTTCATAGTATTGGGTCCCACGTATCATGCGGAGGTTCTGCAGTGGCAGGTAAGTGAAGACATTCATGGCGATCAAAACATAGCCGGTTACTTCTCGAATAGTCTAGGAAGGATGAAATGAAACCACAAAACTCACAACTCAGCCAGACTTAATATACCCTTCAGAGATTATTTGCCATACTGGCATGGAATTGTCAGAAATGCAAGGAAACCAGGAAAAACTATCATAACATTTAATGCATATATTCATATCAAATCATTTTGTTAATCAGTCAGGCTCCCAAATGAAATAGACGCCATCTTAGGATGCTGCAATTTAATGGAAGAGAAAAATGCATGTAATTGTAATTGGTTTTCGCCTGTTCTTCCTCAATGGATGGCAGCCTAAAAAAGCTGGATTTGATATGATAGCGATTCCATTGGCATTACTGGCTCCACAAAAGTTTGGATGCAGTTCTGATGAACTACAACAAAGAATGATTCAAAGGATCAATGAACAGAGTGAAGCTAAACAGACTCACATCTTCAAATAGAGGTCACTGCCAAGGAACAATCAGAAGGAGGGAGCGATTTCTGATTGAAATGTGCCAAACAGGAAGGAACGCTAGATCTTGGGAGAGCTACCAACCATCCATTTTTTAATTTTACCCAGCCAGCTGTGTCTGAGAAGCAATTTGGTTGGCAGAAATTATGTGGGATATAGGCAAAAAAAATTCCCACCCCCAACTTTCAGGTAGACTCAATATCTTTATATTACACTGTTATTTGGATGTAATACATATCTAAAAACTTAAATATTCTCTATAACATGTAAATGTACACTAAACATTTCATAGTTTCATAGTTTCTTTGCTGCACACAGCCAGTTCTTTGCAATATTCTCTCATCTTTCCTATTACCTTCTCCTATTGGTATCTTATGATATTATTATTATTATTATTATTATTATTATTATTATTATTATTATTATTATTATTATTATT